TGGTCTCCGTTTGGGTTGGTGGGGGGATATAACATTTTTGTCTGAATTAGTGGGGGATTTATCACACTATACTTCTTTTGCATTGCAAGTTGGAAAAGTTCGAAACCCAGGCTTTTAAAATAAGCACTTGTCAGTCAATTGGATTCCAAGAAAAGTTATAATAATCCAAACTCTTAATAAATTCATTTCTTGTCTGTCGATTTTGATTGAGTTTTTAAGGCAGGAAATATTTCCGATATATTTGAGTGATATGCAAGAAATATAAATTATTACACAAATTTTACGATTCAAATAAAGGCTAAATAATAAAAGGCATGCAATGCAAGGACTATTTTATTTAGGATGGCTTAATTTGGAAATTTCGTTCTTCAAACTTGTAATGGGTACCAATCCCTGTGGATAAGGGATTGCATCACCATCTCATCTGTAAAAATAATCTTATTAATTAGTTATTTCTTAAAATCTGTTAGTAAATTAAAATATTTCAAGTTTATGGTAAGATAAAATTAATATTTTTATTTTTATTTTTTATGTAGAGTTTTACTGGTTTATATTGGGCCAACCCATTCTCAACGATACCCAGTGAAGTTTAGTTCCAGATCCAAAAGATATAGCTTTCGGTCCATATCCTTTTTTTTTCCTTTTTTTTTCAGAAGAGCCCATAATCCATCTTGACCCATTGATCCACTGACCCACAACAAGGCATGTAATTAAGCCACTGTAATTTGTGTCTTATACTTGATGTTGAACTATCCAACCCAAAAGCTGGAAATGACATGTGCCTTTCCAAAATTTGTTTTGTTCAGTATTGCTTGTCATACTGAACTTGCCATGCAGTTATTCAAAGAGGGCACTGAAGATTTGGCAGCAGCAGTGGAGGTATGTGCATATTCATTCTGACTTTTTGATTGGCAGTTCCAAAGAAACTGTAAATTTCATTTTACACCTGGTTTTTTTCTTGTCCTCGACCATTTGTAAGCTGGCAATGAGGAAGACATTGAGAAGTACAGTAAATGTGGGTTTACTGATTGCCTATATCTTTTCAAACTTCCGCGATAATGGAACACCCATGCTGTGACAGTGAGGATTGACTTATGGACGATTCTACGATCGTATCCTCCTTTTGACAGGAAATCTTTAATCTCTAGAAGATTTCTTACAGTTTATAATTATTATACTTTCCACAGTGATTGTTGGGTTTAGTCTAAAAGCAGAAAAAAGTTGAGTGGGTGTAGCATTTTTGAGGTTTCCCTAATTACTTTCTCTCACAGTAATGACTTATAATAAGTGATTTTTATATATTTTACCAAATAAACTGGCCTTTAAAAAAATTCAAAATAATCACTTATGAATATAAATTTTCTTGTTTCTTGATTGATATGGATTTCATGACTTTCTGAATTAATGGACTAAGCTATTAACTTTTGTTCATCTCATTCCAGGTCAACGACACCCAATTGCCAGGCCATAGCGATTGTACCTCATTCCAATGCAGGGAACGATTTGAGGTTCCAGTGCATGTTGAAGTGAAGTGTTTATGGTGGGGATGTTGCAATAATCAATTATATTTCTTCTATTAATTTTCTCCAATATCTCAATTGACTCCCATCACGTTGATATGTTATATAGAGAAAACAAACCAAATTTGGATGATGCCATGCCATGTTCACAATAAAACCATTTTATACATAAACTATTCATGCGTTTTAAAATTACCACAAAACCATTTTAAGGACTTGTTCCTAGACAAAATTCTTTGAAACCATAAGGACTATGGATCGATTTTGACGTGGAAAAAGCATCTTTAACAGACTCTTTAATAACTTTGGAATTCTAAAGAGTACTGCTAAACGAACCCTAAAATTAACTGAGTACACCCTAATATTTTAATCAAAATGTAAAATTAACTAAGTACATCATATGAAATTACCAAAAATACCCCTAGTACACTCTACAAGTATTACTTTGTAGTTGATTTCCAACTTGACTTTTTTAATAGTATTTATAAATCTTTGACTTTTCATATGAATTTATGCTTCTATTAAAGCAGTTGACACTTTTTTTGCTATTCCAAGTTCTTGCAATCACCACCTCTTTCGTTAAAAACACAAAAGGACAAATGGGAAATTAAGCATAAATTATCTCATAACATTTTTTGTGCTGGAATAAGCCAAATGAGAAAAAAGCAATAATAATTATTATATTTATGTTACAAAACAAGAACTGCCAATGGTATAATGAAAATGAAAATAATAATTAATGTAACCAATATGATGCTTTTCAGGTTGAGAAGGATAGTTCCAAGTGGGAGTTCAGCCCAGAATACAATGGATTTAATCCAACTCACTCCATGACAATCTTCTCGTCGTAATCCCAATTAGGAGAATCTCTCGTTCATCAATGGAAGAAGCTCATGAGTTGTCCAATCCAAGTTACCAAGAAATAGTTCCAAGAAGAAAGAAGGAATGTTTCATCTACTCCAAGCCGCGCTAGAGCATAAGGAACTTAGTATCAGAAGCAGAATCAACAACACAAGAAAGAATAAGGAACCTTAAGAAGCCATTCTGACTCGCGAATAACAAAGATGGGCACCAAAGTATCTCTTTATTAGGGTTGAATATGGTTAGTATGATGTACTTATTAAAATTATATTTGTTTCACAATTTCATATATCATTTTTGGTCATTTTATATTAGGGTAAATCAATAATTCAATAAATACTTTTGTAGTAGGGTGTACTCAGTTAATTTTAAGGTTCGTTTAGCAGTACTTATTCTAAACTAAGTGAGCCACATCAGAAAAATTATCTCCAACAGCCTTGTCAAACTCAATCATCAAAGCTTCAACATTTTTCTCTCTCTTCAGTACTGGTAAGTTGACTTTGACTCTTCAAAACATTTAATTTCACTTTGGAAAAATAAAACCTACCTTTAAAATGTTAAAAACATCTTTTTTTTTCCTTTTCAAATAATAAATACATAGATATTTTTCACATATTTTCATATTTTTCATTATTTTACATAACATTACATTAATTGAATTGAAGAGTCTAATGGGGAACAAAATATTAAAGTAGCAAACAAAGCTTGTCAAATTGCCACGTAAGTCAACAAACTTCAATTTAAAGAGTTTGGTTTACTACGACTGTTGGAGATGATCTAACTATGGCTAAAATTATGTTGTTATTGTTGCAATGTTAGGCATACCACATTTGCATACCATCTTGTGCATCAACTCTCTAATAGAGGTGGAGCCCACCAATACAATGGGGCTCACCTCTATTAAAAAGGTGATATACAATGTGGTATGACTATAGTTTTTGTTTGAAAGCAGTGTAAATGACAAACCAAAATACAATAAGCAATGCTAAGTATATCACATTTGCATACCACCTCTCTAACAGATGTGGGAACACAATATGGTATATATATGTGGTATGACTAGCATTTTTGAAATAGAATATCTTCTTGTGGGCCATATATAAAGATATATTTAAAAATTACGAAGCCCAGTGGTGTGGGTTTGATTATGGGGTTTTGAGATTTGGTGTTCTTTTTCCCTGGTACATAGTTCAAATACTTGGGAATAAAAGCTCCCCTTTTTCGTTTTGGTGTAATTTTCAATATTACCCTCCATTTGAATGAGGGAAACAACTCGGAATTTAGCTAAAAGTCGGGAATTTAAGAGGAGAAATTGACAATTCCTTTGTTTGGCAAGTTAAGCGCATAATTTATTAAATGATGCGTGGAAAAAATCGTGGAAATTGGAGCATTAAATTCCCGAGTTTATTTTCCATCAAAATAGGCGTCATTTCACAAAATTATGTCATTTACAAAATTCGACATATATAAATCCAAATACTGAAATCTTCAATTGCCAAAAATTGAAATGATGGAAATTGAAATTCCATCATTTTAAAATTCTATGTAATTTTTAATTTCTTCATCCAAATGGAGGGTTAATGTAGTTCTTACGTCTCCTTCACGAAAACAGTTAAAAGCGATCATCTTCCTGGTTTTGCTTTTAAGTAAATCCCTGTCAAACTAAAAGCCTTTGTAAATTTACTCTCCAACAAAAGAAACATTGACAGCTCAATCGATATATAAGTGCTTTTTCCTTCAGATCTTCGAGATACCTGTGACCACAATAAGTCTTTTATCACCATTCTGATAATCTCTCTACTATGTCCCTACCTTTTTTTCACATGCATGGTTGGCTCTGTTTCTCGTGAAGTTAGAGCTCTCTTTAATCTACTTTTTTAGGCACCAAAGGTGTTTATATCAGAGGAAATAATACAAGTCATTTTCTAACAATGTATCTTGTTCCCCCAATACTGAAAACGAAATCATAACTAAGAATTAGCTTTCATGGTTGGAATTATTTTTTTGAATTTATTATATTTGTTGGGTACTTAGCATCATTTTTCCTTACCATACATATGAATTGAAATAAAGGATTCCTGATTTTCCAGCACTTTAAATAAGTTCTTATTGCGCCAACGGGTCCAGCCCAATGAAAAAAGGCTTTAACTTGTAGGCCAGAGGTCTCAGGTTCAAACCTCCATAACATCTTAATTGTGTGCGTGTATGTGAGAAACCTCCCTCTCCTTGTTAGTTTATACTATGACTTGTACTGAAAAAAGAAAATTCAGTTGTTGCTGCAACAATAAGAGCCCACCACCCAAAAAAAAAGGAAAAAAGAAAAGAAAAATTCAAGTACAATTCTTAATGGAAAGTGAAAGCAGAAAGGGGCAATTAGCTTTTGATAAATATCTTGCTTTCACATACTCATTAATTACTGAAACTTACTTGTTCATAGAATCATAGTCCACATACATGTTCTCTCATCCCTCTAGAGATAACAGAGAGCAATATAAATTCACAACAGAGGCCTAAGAATTCTTCAAACCCAATTTCAAAACTTTCGTATCTCTCAGAACTCTAATTCACTTCAACTCTATTTCCACTTCTTTGTCATTGTTCCCTTAATTATCTCATCTCATGGCACCACCAAACAGAGAAACCCAAATGGGTTCATACTCTAATACCTGCATTGTCAAAAAGCCACCAAGGCTTTCTATGGGAAGCCTTCAAAGAACCATTTCTGACATTTCAGATGAACTAAGCAGCAGCACCAAAGAAGCCATTGATGCCATGCAGCTTCCAACTATCTCTGAGGTTGAGGATGCCAAGTGTGAGTGCTGTGGCATGTGTGAGGAGTGCACCAACGAGTACATCGATCGCGTGCGAAACCAGTTTTCGGGGAAGCTGATTTGTGGGCTGTGTGCAGAAGCTGTGAAGGAAGAGATGGAGAAGAATGGAGGCAAAAGAGAAGAGGCTGTCAATGAGCATTTCAGTGATTGTGTCAAGTTCAATAGGCTTGGCAGGGCATACCCTGTTTTGTACCAGACTGAGGCCATCAAAGAGATCTTGAAAAAGAGTTCAAAAATTAGGACCAAGTCTACAAGTCCTAGAGATAAGAGTGTTCAAAAGAATAATGCCATCACAAGGAGCTCCAGCTGCATTCCTGCAATTAATCGAGAAGAATTGAGCCCTAAACCCTGAACCCGAAACTTTTATAACTAGATGGTTTGATTACTCAGCTTCTAACTCGAGGACCTAGCTAATAAGCTATCCTTAGCCAAATTTCTGGTTTCTTCGTTCTCCATATAAATTGAGCATGGTCATGTTTCTTATGGTGTCGACTTGTATGCGTACTCAAATAAGTAAACCAATTTACTTGAAGTCTACTATACTATATTGCATTTCTCAATCACAAGGACAATTACACCTGCTAACAGTCATCAATAGATAATTCATAAATTGACATATAATAGCAGTTCTCAATTTAGTGGCACTTCTTTTCCTAATTTTAAAAGATTTTTCAAATTTCAATTCTCTCTCCGCAATGATAAAAATAAAAATGAAAAATTGCAATAACGGAGCAAAAGATTTAGTATAGCTAATCAAATTAGTCTAAGTGGTGAGGAGAGGGAGGATAATAGGTTAGGATTAGAGTAGCTCAATGTTCAATTCCCTCCCCAAAAATTGATCACAAGCAACATGGTGTTATGTTTATTTCTTAAATAACAAAAACGCCCTCAACTAAAGATTTCCTAAGCATTTGTTTTCCACGGATGGGGGGTCATTCTCCACGTCTTTGTTAATTAGGTTGAAAGCTTTGATCGATGTAGTTTCTTCTTCTTTTTTGGTTTATCGTTATCGGCGCAGTTGGTGGATTTGAAACACTAAAAAGCAAGGAACACCTCTTTCGTGGGTTTATAAGAGCACTTCTAACAGTTTGCCCTTTGTCATGGCAAGGGGGAGGCTAGGGCAGCCACTATTCACGTGAATAGTGACTGCCCTTGCAAAAGGTTATGGTGTTTCCACCATTTGCCATGGCAACAACTATTCACATGAGATATGAATAGAGAAATTTGTATAGAGTTTGGTGTGAGAAGTGAAAACTATGACTAAGTATTTATTTATTTTTTAAAAAAACTGAAAATTTTTGGTTTTTTTTTATACAGATTTTTTTTAAAAAAAATTTGTTACTGACGTCAGCAAATCCAGGCTTGAACTAGGGCCCATCTTGCCTAAGGGCTGGCCTGATTTCATGGGCCCCAGCAGCTACCCTAGCCAGCCCTTGCTGTTGGAAATGCTCTAAGGGATGTAGAACTAGATGGTTGGTGCAATAACATCATCATTAACGCTAATTACTTAATAAATTAATACGACTCACTATTCGTTTGTACATACTCTATAATGTATCTCATAATTTGAATTGTTTGTTTTATAAAATTAATAACCAAGACCTTGATTTCTTTTTATAAAGTAGTCTATGGACTCATTGAAGCCTCACGGATTGAACTCTCAAATATATATCTATTTATATATGCATGGATCTTGAAGTGCTCACGAGTGGGAAAATTGAATACAATTACATGCATGTCCATTATCAGCTAAGCTAATAGTTCTATTATCTATATATCTCTGGCCGTAAAAAAAAGTGCAACACGAGCCCTAGCTAGCAAGATAGCTAACAAGTGGTGTGTGCAATTTGCATATAAATCAATTTTTTTGGGTAACAAGGGGTGCAATTTGCATAATAGTGACACGAAAAAGCAACACCCATCTATTAAAAAATTATATATTTCAGTCTATAAAGCGGTCTCTCAACATGCGATTGAGGAAAACTTCTTGAAAACTATATCTACATAAACTTTAGAGATTACACACTCTTGTCTTTGAAAGGACTCTCTTCATGCTATGCACGCCCTCATTTTGTATATAAATACCAATGCATGTCTTGTGCAAATATATCATATCATACTATCAAGTCTATTAGCAAACATGGTAATGTTATCTTCAATTGTATTGCTTGTTCCACTTTGATTTTTTATAAATCATTGAATTTAAGCTAATGTCTATATATCTTTTTCGTGTGCGTGCTTGAGTATAGAATGAGCAAAGGCTTCGAAATGCAATCTCCGATGTGTCGAATGAAATAAACAAGTACAAGAAGGAATTGGAAAGTAGCAATGTTCTTGCCGAAATTGATGAAGTGAAGCAAGCAGAATGCGAATGCTGTGGGCTGAAGGAGGAGTGCACCGCAGGCTATATCAATGAGGTTGAGGACTCTTTTTCAGGCGACTGGGTTTGCGGGCTTTGTTCAGAAGCTGTCAAAGATAAAATGAAAAAGGTAGCTCCAAATGGTACGGCCATGCAAGAAGCTGTGAGCTCTCACAGGGATTTTTGCCAGAAGTACAACAGCACCAGGCTCAATCCTAAGCTCTCTTTAACTTCTGCCATGAGGGAGATAGCGAGAAGAAGCTCTGAGAATAGAGATTCAAAGCACAACTTGCCAATGTCCAAGCTTGGCCGAAGAAGCAGCTGCGGCCCAAGAATTGATTTCAAGCAATATATGTAACAAAACGACTACTACTTGTCTCACCATATATACTTGGCATATATATTTGTTGTCAATCAATTTATTTGGTTCGTTGTAGGGTTCTTATATTTAACTAAGATGCATATTTATCTTGAAAGGATTTGGTTGCATGCAGGGTCCTTAATTTTACGAGAGCTAATTAAGCTTGTTTGAGGAAAATAGAAAGATCAATAGAAACGCTTACATGAAACTAAAAAATTGGCACAACTCAATTCTGGCGATGAAAAACCCTTTAGACATAAAAGAAGCAACTGAGTGTGTAGTTTTGATACCGCATGAAAAAAGATCGCCACAAACCTCAATGAATTTGCGAAATTTGTCGAATATCATAAACCATGCTCAGTAATGGTTGCACTCTAGCAAGCTAGCTGTTAAATACATCAGCTGGCTTATCTATAACAAACCAGCCACACATCAGTAACTGAATCCCACAACATTTACAAAACTTAAACTGAACTAACAACTAAACCTAACTCAACTATAATTAATTGCTATTTGAGATGTGATCTAAAAATGGTTCAACACTTTTAGGCCCAACTTAGTGATAAGGTATGATAGATGATGGGTGAAGGTGAGGACCTTCAACATGTGTGTGAAGATTTGGGCAAGCGATAAATATACAAAAGATAAATATAAAAGTAAAAAAAAAGAAGCTCATGACTAAAGATCAAGTCTAGCCCAAGGATCCCCCCTAAGGGGAGAGTGGTCTCCTTTTATAGGTGAGGGGGAGTCTTCATTTCTTGTAATATTCCAATGTGAGACTCTTTGCTTTGCCTAGAGTTGCTTTTAGTTACTTGGTCAAATATGGTATAAACACACTCTATCTTTGTCTAGGTCGCATCTTCTAAAGTAATGGGCTAGCTAAGATAGTTGTTTAGCCCAAAGTATGGGCTGAATCCTGACCTATGCAAACCCCAAAAGAGAAAGCAAACCCAAAAAGGCTAGGACACTGGGTGCCCCTGGTCCCAAGTTAATCAGGCTAAGACACTTTAAACCAAAACTAGCTGTCAGATAGTCGTAGGAGCTCATATGGTTGGTGCAAAATCTCATATAGCACGTGAGTTGCACACGTGCAATACAATCCACTTCAGGATTTTCAGAGTATGAATCATGGACCACTCATTATTAGAAAAACAAAACAAAAATAAATAAATTGCATGTGATTTTTTGGCACTTTTTAGTCTCATAGACCTTGGATCAATCCACCTCCCCATTTAAATCGGGCGGGTCCATAATGTGACAATGACATTATGCTAAAGCCCTTGGTGAGGTTTGTGTCCTTAATTTGCGATCAGTCGCTGTACATGGGCCTGGCATTATGGTGGTGTCTATAGAGGACCGGCAATCATTTTAATCAAGGATTTACTTATTCAAGTAATATTGTAACGATACTGAAGGAGGAAAATTCGAACACAATATCTTAAACGCATGTGTAACTGTTTTTAACCATTTAGCTATGGTATAACTTTTCTTTTTCTTTCTTTCTCGTGGCTTGAATTTGGCTAAATGTGGCTCAATAACCCAGGTAAGTCAAAATCCCAGTGGACCCTTTCCGGCCGACATTTGCAGTCCATAATACATTGGAAATCTATTGTTTACAAAGAAAAAAGAAAGACAGAAAAGAAGTACTGCAAGCCAAAGTTGTCAATTATGTGATTAAACAAAACCAGCAAAAGTATAATTAAAGTTTGGTCTAAGTGAATGAACATGAAGTTGAAGCCCTACAAATTTCAAAAAGACATCGACACCCTTATATTAGGGAAATGGGTCGGCTCCTCGTCATGCATACCTCACAGATCAACTCATTAATTAATCAGTCAAAAATAATTATAAAAAATTAGTGTATGTAATGGAAATTTATTAGTATAATACAATGTGCTCTTTACATCATATGGGCATAAATGAACTTTCCAATATTATTAATATATTTTCAAAGAGGATTATGAACTTAATCAACAACTAAACATAAGCAAATTGGATTAATATAATCTTATCCACACGATCACATCCAAGTAGCGGATGAGCAATTGTTGAGCTTGATGCTGCGCGTTTTTTCCTTCTTCTTCTTTTTTGGGATTTGGTGCTAATAAACAAGTGCTAGAAGCAAGTATTATTCTCTATGTGTCACGTTCTAAGATGGTGCTTGTGTCGTACAACCTAGAAGTAGAGATTTAGGCTCCTAGTGGCCTTTTTTACACGAGAGATATTAACATAGTGGAAAGAGCACTCCCACATATATTGTGTTTTAAAGAAAGATATATTAATACTACTAGAAGAGTAACAAGTATTTTCAAGATCTGAGTAAAGAGGTTTTGAATTCAAATCTTATGAAGGGAAGTTTTTTAAGATATTAAGAATAAAAAATGGAGATGTAGAGGAATACATCTTTATGTTTGGTTATGTAATATGTAAAATACTCGATTGAAAAAGATAGGTTTTGTGTGATTTGAACATTGATAGTGGGGAAAGGCCCGAAAGGGTGGGCGTGGGGATAAAAACATGAGAAAGATGGAGAGTGTAAAACCCTAGAAAATGGAGAGGAGGAAAGCATGCCGGGGTATGACAAAGACCACACACTGTATATTCCTTCGAGAAAGAGACTGTGGGTCCCCTCTCTCTCTCTCTCTCTCTCTCTCTCTCTCTCTCTCTCTCTCTCTCTCTCTCTCTCTCCCCCCTCACAGCCCAGAGAGAGAGAGAGAGTTTGCGCACGAGCATTGCCACTAAGTGTATGTAACGTAAAGATCACCCACTTTACTACTTTAGTTTTCTTTCCATTCATTCATTCATTCTTTCCTCTGCGCTGAGACTGCTTAGACTGCTTTGCCTCTCTCTCTCTCTGCTTTCTTTTGAGTTTTAGCCCCACTCCACTGCTGTCTGTTCCTCCAATTTGCCTTCCTTTGTAACTCCTTTCTATAAGTTTTGTACTCTTTCCTCTCAGAGGCTCTTTCTCTCTAAAAGTTTTCTTTTTTCCTCCTCTCTCTCTCTCTCTCTCTCTCTCTCTCTCTCTCTCTCTCCTCTGTGCTGCTGATCATCACAAGGAGAATCCTAGATAATAATGAAAAGCTACACTAGTCCAAACAAAAGGGGTTGAAGAATATTGCTTTTACATGCAGGGGAAGTAGTTCACATTGTTCACTTCTGTACTTCTCTCTAGCTACCAAGTTACCCTCACTTGAGCACTAGAATTACTTCCACTGCCAACTAAGTTCCATTTATTCCAGCATGTAAACACACTAAAAGTGAGTTTGAAGAATAATTTTGATTATTCATTTGCCATAATTTTGTCTGACAAGGTTTTTATTTAGAAACAAACCAATCAATGACATCACAAGTAGGTGTAGATATTGCAACAATGATTAGTGAAACTCCAACCAATGCAAGCCTTTGAATATTGGGTTTGAAGAAATCAATTATTGTTCTTAGGTTGCAAACAAGAGATCTAGCTACTTTGGTCATGAGATCTGAATGGATATAGCTGTCAAATTGTTGCGACTTATGTTATCAAAAAATTGAAAATAGGGTTATATCAGTTGAGATTCAAAACTTTGACGCCTTTTTAGCTACCAGGAATAAAACTAGGGCTGTTTTTATTCTTCTTCTTATTAAATATAAGTTATCATACTTATAGTTATTGGTAATTAGCCTGGTTTCAATGCTTTTTTTTTAAGAACCTTTTCTATTTAGAAGGGCGATACCATACTAAACTCACACTACACGGATGTTAGGACTCGAACGCATGACCTTTCCTGAGGAGAGCATTTGCTCCAAACAACTACACTAATGAGTCCTTTACAGCCTTGCTCTAGTTTTAAGTTTTCCTAAGAAATTATTACCCTAGTACACCATGTTTCACTATAGGATTAATTTTGTTTGCTCCTTACTCATCTTGATGCTGATTTGATGTTAAGTGCAAATCTTCCTCCCTAATATAATATTTCTTTTGACAAAAAATAATAATAATATATATATCTACAATAAAAAGAATTCCAATTCATCATTAATCTTGTTCTTGAAGCTATAATTTTGTTAACAAAATCCTTCCCTTCTTCATAAGCAACATAGGAATAAGTTTCTTGTTTCTTGTCCATGGCTATTACAGGCGAATGCATCCACAACAAAGCTATGTCATTTGCTTCTTCAAGTTTTATTTTTAATTTTTCTATAAAATAAAATTGAACAGTAAACCCATAAATGTATATAATTTTTTTTATTTTTTTGGGGTCAAAAAAATGCATATGAAAGTTTTTCTTTTCTTTGGTCGAAGCATATGAAAGTTTAGAAGCTCTTCGACAACGGTTACAAATTCTAGTCATCATGGCGCGAGTCAGTCAGTCAGTCAAAAGAGCAATTTGGTAAATAACCCGACAAAAATCAGAGTCTTTTTTCCAACATCTGTCCCTGTTTCCCTTTCAACCGTTCGTGTTCAAACATCATGCCTTCTAAAGAAAGTCCAAGGTCCACTCTCGTAATTATCCCCAACTTCCTTGCCCACTTCCCCACCTTCAACCCTCCATCTATTTAAACACCCCTCTCTCCCACTCTCTCCCACTTACAAACTCTTTATCAATAGTCTCAAACTTCTCCAATTAGGTACGTCGCAGACATTTTTCCCAATTTTTTTGGTTTAATTTCAGTCAAATTTGTTTCCCCTCAAATTGTTGTTACTATAATCTAATTTTGTTTATTCTAATTTGTGGTTATAATCTTGTAGAAAATTGCTGCTGGGTTTGATTATAAATTCATGAAAATTAATGTGGTAAGTACGTTCTTTAAACTTGTTTAAGAAATTTCAGTAATTTTTTGTAGTTATGATTTCATGTTAATTACACGTTGTATAATTATTTCAGTGCTTTTTACGTGGATGCTATAAACTTTGAGCTGATGATGATGATGAAGATGGCCAGGAGACGACCTCATCAAACATGTCTCATTTCCTGCATGTTCATGTTCTTGTTCTTCTTCTCAAATCAAACATCTGCTTTGGACGATGGCGATGAGCATCAACTTCAGCTTCTCTTGTCCTTCAAAGCCTCCATCAACGACCCTCTAAACTTCCTCTCAGACTGGAACAAGACCACCTCGTCCAACAATCCATGCAATTGGCATGGCATCACCTGCGACAACAACACCACCATCAAAACCATCGAGCTCTCCGGAAGAAACATATCCGGCAAACTGTCGTCCTCGATCTTCCACTTGTCCCACATCGAAACCATCGACCTCTCGAACAACCAACTGGCAGGGCAGCTTCCTAAGGACATGTTCGCCGGTGTGTCTAATTCGCTTCGGCATCTCAACCTCAGCAACAACAACTTCACCGGGGTCGTGCCGCAAGGCTCGGTCGCATCTTTAGAGGTACTAGACTTGTCCAACAACATGATTTCAGGGCAAATCCCGGACGGCATCGGATCGTTTTCGAGCTTGAAGTTTCTTGATCTCGGAGGAAATGTTTTGCTGGGGAGCATCCCAAGTTCTATATCAAACATGTCTAGCTTGGAGGACTTAACCTTGGCCTCAAACCAACTGTCCGGAAAAATTCCAACCCAACTAGGCCAGCTAAAGAGCTTGAAGTGGATCTACTTGGGCTACAACAATCTCTCTGGACAAATCCCAGAAGAGATTGGCAATCTTGTTCAACTGAATCATCTCGATCTTGTGTTCAACAAGCTCACAGGCCAAATCCCAGTCTCTCTCAGCAACCTCACTCAACTTCGGTACCTTTTTCTCTACGGAAACAAGCTCACAGGCCCCGTTCCACAGTCCTTGTTCGGGCTTGAGAATCTCGTTTCTCTTGACCTAAGTGATAATTTTCTTTCGGGTGAGATTTCTGAAAATGTTGATCAACTTCAAAACTTGGAAATTCTTCACCTTTTTTCCAACAACTTCACCGGAAAAATTCCCAGCGCTTTGGCTTCTCTGCCTCGGCTTCAAGTCCTTCAGTTATGGTCAAACAAGTTCTCTGGCGAAATCCCGAGACGTCTTGGATACCGAAACAACCTCACTGTCTTGGACCTTTCCACGAACAGTCTCACAGGGAAAATACCCAATACGCTATGCGACTCGGGTCGGCTTTTCAAGCTCATCCTCTTCTCCAATTCGCTCGAAGGCGAAATCCCACGAAGCTTCTCTTCTTGCAAGAGCTTGGGCCGAGTCAGACTCCAGAACAACCGGCTTTCCGGGGAGATATCGGCCGAGTTCACCAAACTCCCGCTTGTCTACTTCTTGGATATTTCGGGAAACAATCTCTCCGGCAGAATCGGTGAAAGAAAGTGGGACATGCCCTCACTTCAAATGCTAAATATCGGGAGAAATGGATTTTTCGGGAACTTGCCGGATAATTTTGGAAGCGAAAAGCTGGAGAACTTGGACTTGTCAGAAAATCGGTTTTCGGGGACTATCTCGCCGAGTTTGGGAAACTTATCGGAGCTAATGCAATTGAAACTTTCTCACAACGAGCTCTCCGGTCCCATCCCGCAACAGTTATCTTCATGCATGAAACTCGTGAGTCTCGACCTCAGCCACAATCGCCTCACCGGTACGATTCCAACCAGTCTTTCGGATATGCCGGTTCTCGGGGACCTTGACTTGTCCGAAAACGATATTTCCGGCGAGATTCCGCGGAATTTGGGCGTTATAGAATCACTGGTCCAAGTCAACATTTCTCACAACAAACTCCACGGGACGTTGCCGTACACCCCGGCGTTTCTGGCCATAAACGCGAGCGCGGTGGCCGGTAACGACCTCTGCGGCAGTGACACCACCACGAGTGGTCTACCGCCGTGCAAGAGCGTTAAGAGAAACCCAACTTGGTGGTTTGTGGTCACCTGTTCTCTTGTTGCTCTATTGGGTTTTGGTGTTGCCACTTATGTGCTTGTTATAATCCGGAGGAGAAACGATTTGAAGGTAAAAACAGTGGAGGGCGAAGGTGGGATTTGGGAACTGCAGTTTTTTGATTCAAAGGTTTCGAGATCAGTCACAATTCATGATATTTTCGAGGCAGCCAAACAGGGTAATGTCATTGCAATGGGAAAGACTGGGATTTCGTACAGAGGAGAGTCGGTTTTGAATGGCATGCAATTTATGGTTAAAGAAGATACCATGAATTCAATTCCACCTAGCTTTCGGTGTAAGATGGTTGAGTTTGGGAGGCTTCGGCACCCCAATGTGATCAAATTGATCGGAATATGCCACTCCCAAAAGGGTGCATATGTGCTTTATGAGTATTGTGAAGGCAAAGTACTGAGCCAAGTTCTGAGGGATTTGAGCTGGGAACAGCGCCGGAAAATTGCCCTTGGGATTGCGAGAGCTCTACGCTTCTTGCATTGTCGTTGCTCCCCAAGTGTTGTTGCAGGTCGTGTGTCGCCGGAGAAGGTCATCGTAGATGCGAAAGATGAGCCTCGGATTCGATTGAGTCTACCCGGAATGGTTCAACCGGACTCCAAGGGGTTCATTGCTTCTTCATACATTGCTCCAGGTACGTACTGGAGTACCATTTTTTCATGCATGCATACATTATAATTAAACTATGTTTCTATATGTACATGTCAAGTCAATATCTTACTTGTTAAATGAACCGAAATTTGAAATAAATAAAATACCGTCACATCATTTCGAAAACAAAATTGATGAGTCCAGCCATGCTCTAAACTAAATTCTAAAGCTCCAACTTTTTTGCTTCATATCTTGTAGAAGCTAAAGAAGGCAAAGGCATCACAGAGAAGAGTGACATCTATGGATTTGGGCTTGTCCTGATCGAATTGCTCACCGGAAAAGGCCCCGCCGACACGGAATTTGGCGCGCACGAGAGCATTGTAGAGTGGGCTAGGTATTGCTACTCCGACTGTCATCTTGACGTGTGGACAGACCCCATGATTAGAGGACACGTGTCGAGCAACCAGAACGAGATTGTAGAAACCATGAACCTAGCCCTTCACTGCACTGCTGGGGACCCCACCGCAAGACCATGCGCGGATGAACTGTATAAAACCCTAGACTCTATTATAAGGACAAGTTCTTGTGTTTCTAGCCTAAAAGTTTCTTCACCTTTTTGAGTTTTTTTTCCCTCAAGGATTTTTGTTCGAGTTTTCAGCTTCTCTTTTGTTAACTTTCTTTTTTTCTTAATTTTTCTTGGTTTTATTATAACGTAATGTACGTGTTAATTAATTAATTACCACCTTTTGTTGTATTTTGTAACATAAAGGTGTTAATTAATTGTTAGTACTATAAATATATATATAGCTCAAATGTTTTGTTTGATGGTATGTTTGACATACTAGTGAGTGTAAAACTGTAGATATATATATATATAAACTAAATGTTACTGCATTATTTTATATACTTTTTGGGTCAATTAATTCATGCATATGTGCATGTTCATTATGAATTTACCCTCTTCTCTTTCTATATGTGCATGACGTATTCTTTTAAAATTCGATTGTTAAGCAGGCATGGGTTTAGCCAAGTTGACTAGAGCGGAGTTTGAATTCAGCTTAGATTAAATTAAAGTAAAATATCGCTTCTATAAATAATAATAAATATATAAAAAAATCTAATTGTTAATTATAATATATTTGATCCAAAAAAGTAATTTACAGTAGAGAAAAGATGGGTTGAGGCAATCATATCACATCCTCCTCTCCCTTTCTTTATGGGTTGCATGAGATAGGGAAATAGGACCATCAAGGTGGGTCTTTTCCTTAAAACAAAAAAAACAAAAAAACAAAAAAAACAAAAAAAACAAAAAAAAGAAAGACCACCAAAAAGATGAATTGAAATAAACCCTCTTTCTAATGGCATGCGTGAAAGCGTCAGTTTCAGTCTTACGACCTACCAACATGTACAAAAGTGCTCACCCTGAGCTGTCAGATTTGTTTGTTATTTTATAACAACTAAAACCTTGAAGGAAAAGTTTATTACATTTATTCTCTCATCCGGATCATGCCGACGTTATTCTAAATAGGAGGAAATGAGGGAGGTGTAGTATAAAATACATGGAGTTCACACAATAATAACGTGCAGACGTCTGCATATGAGAATTTATGTATATATATTGTAGATTTTTTCATAAGTTATATGCATACTGCACAGTTATATAAAGGAAGAAGGGAGCTAGAAAAAGCAAAAACAAGAACAGAAGGTTGAATTGTTTGGCTATAGTATTACTCATGGAAGAAGGGAAAATGTGGAAACTGAATGGTCGTGATCAGTGAGTTAGGTCAAAGAACTAGCAAACATATGTAGGGCTCTTCTTTTGCAGGGAACAACTGTACTAAAATCTGATCCTTTGATGATTATTTTTTGTCCCATTGTCGGGCTCGGGCAGGCCTTTTCCAATTGAAAAACAAGCCAAAGAATATTATTAACTGGCTCTATACAATCACAAAGCTGCATTCATATCTATTATGTAAAAGCACACTGAGCTAGCCTTTTTGCTTTACTTCTTCCTCTACCTTTTTTCTCTTATTTCAAACCAACAATGGTCAAAGGGTTTTACAACCTCAAGACACAATTCGTGCTATGATTAACCTTTAATTTTACTTATATCTGTAACCATGTGTTTAGTGTAGCATCTTGTTGAATATTTTCGTGGGGGGTGAAAAGATCGATCGAAGAGTTTTCGTTTACTTGCCTTCTCTCTATAGTTGCAATTATGATCTTAATTAATTAGCTAATTAACAAATTTGATTAGTGATTTCCAGCTTCTAATTATCATCCTATTAGCAATGATGAAAATTGATACAAATCCTTTTCTTTAATGTGTACAGCTGACCTATATCGGCAGCAGAAGCAGTAGTCATAATAGTTACAAGATTCCATGTCTAAAGAGTCAGTCTAAACACATAAGTTTAAAGTAGCTGACATTTTTAAGAACAAACCCAGCTCAGTTTTGCTGGCATTCACGGATATGATCCATATTTTTTTGAAGGCTATTTCATCTCAAAAGCCTCAAGATTTCAATGATGGTTTCTCGGAGACCATGCAAAAGCTTCTTTGCCCTTCTTCTTTCCATTCAAAAAGCTCCTTTTCCTCTCATTATATTCTCTTTTTCTTTTCTTATTTTTCATTTGGGGGGAAGTGGGGAGCTATAGGGTGTGTATGTATAAGAAAATTTTGATGTCCTGAAGTGCGTTTTGCCTCTCCCTTTTGGTTTACTTTTGTAGATCAAAAATCAAACATTTTTGCGTGTGTTTCTTTGATTGAAGACAGGTGGGTTTTGTTTTCGAATTTTCATGTAGTAACAATAATTGGATACACGTGCATCCCATCGCATATATCACAGCAAGAACACTCATTGAACAAACCCTAACCATTACCTCACAGTCAAGTATACCCCCACAACATAGAGGGCAAACTTTTTTGTAACTGATGATGAGTCAACTGCATCCTCTCAACAAATCGAAACCCTACCACACACGTTGACGTTCATAGGATTGAATTGAAATTCGCATAGTACTGAAAAAGGTTTTAAGTTCGAATTTCGGTTCTCCTCAATAATCAAATATAAAAAAAAAGCCTCACATATATATAGTATCATTGGGTTTGTTTGTGTGAGTCAGTAGGTAACAAACTCATACTAGAAGATGCTTTACTAGAGATTCAAATAACTCAAGTTAATAAAATAATTTGGTGCTACCACATAGTGAAACGTGTTACAGAACAAAGAAAAAAAGAAGTGTTGTTTTCTTTGCTCGTAAACGTAAGGATTGGCCATAAGTTGAATCATGTAAATCTTTGTGTTTTGTTAATTTCTTAATGTCGTTTCTGCTTTGTCGGGCTTTGATGCAAACATATATATATATTCTGATTGAAGCAAAGCATCAAGGATAGACGACATCCAATATGGTGGGGTAAAGACTAATTAAGAGATTGCTTATCCGATTAGTGATTACCCTATAGAAGAAGCTTAATTAATGTGATGATAAAGACTTGATAGAAATGATTACCACTTAAACCATGTTATTCATTTATATTCCGATCTTAACTAGAGAAAAATTAAAAATTGAGCAAATATGAATGATTCGATTTGTACCCGCAATTGCGCATTACATATATTTTGATAAAGATATGGAAATTCCCTTTTCTTTTTCTTTTTGGTCGAAGTTAGGAATGAGAGGGGAAAACTACACACGGGTACCATGGGGAACTGGATTTATGAAAGAGTGGATGACTGGCATATTTGGTTTGACAACTACATTTGAGCATACCTTTGAACAAGTAATGCTTGTCCCTCGGTGAGATCATAAAAAGCATTCAAAGTACAATGCTAATATGTGTTGATTTTTTAAAAGATTAAAAAAAAGGATAGGAAAAGGTAGGAGCATTATGATTCATATATAAATAAAGCACAAAGCAAAACTCAAAGAATAGAGGATAACCCAAAAACTTGGGCCCAATATACCCTTTGGTACACATGCTCATGACAAAGAAGAGGTTTAATTTCTAGTGTAGGTTTTTAAAAAAGAAAAAAAAATCTAAATCCTATGTTCTGTTCTGTCCAAAGTTTCAGACAAATGACCAGTTGATGAACATGAAGCAGATGCAGTGAGCAGTTTCTTCTTCATTCAACACCTTCCATGCCACTGCCCTCTCATAGGAGATTGGCCTTCCCATGCTTGACATGCATATGCCACCTTGAAGACACATAAAACCCTGCAGCCCCCAACACAAGTAAAAAGAAAAATAAAGGTAAGGTTAATTAATCAACTATTTCAACAGTAAAAAATTGAAAGTCATCAACAGAGCATGTCAAGGCCTTCAATGTTTTGTCCAAATCTTAGCTGGACTTCAAAGCAACATACCTGCTGCATTATCTGTGGGAACTCAGAGAATAGGGCCTTCCTTCCATTGTCATCAAAAATCTTTTCCAGTGTAATATCCTGAAGTGCAACTAACGTCGTCTCGAGCATGTCAAGGCCTGCCTGGTTTGCGAATGTGAAAACTGGCAATGCCTGCATAAATTATGAAATTAAATTATGGAAAACTTTAGTTGTTATAAAAGGAACATGCCTCACAACTTCTAAGTGAAAGATATATAGAACGGAAAACGTTGATGAATAGGCTGAAAACGGCATATTTCAGACATAGAAAGGAAAGAAAAATGGTACCCATGTACCTTCAAAGAGCAGCATAAGATAGCATCCGAGTGATGCCAAAGAGATTTGAGAATGGACTCACTTCCTTCACTTTTTAGTAAGTCTTCTCCTAGATAGCACCTGAAACGAAAGCGAATTAAGATATAGCAATCGCATAAATAAAATAAATTTGTTTGTAAGATAAGAATTTGTTCTATCCAACCAAGTTTGTCTAGTTACTCACCTATAGCTCTGACAGATCCAACCAGCGAGTGTTTGTGCTTCAGGAGTGCCGGGTGGTGGCCGGAAACCAGAATTAGAACCAAAACGAGAAGGGGAGAGAGCCAGTGCTACCCTCTGTACTGATGCAATAATACTGCGGACATACTGGCGAGCCATGGAAGCTACATTGTCTTGAAGGTGAATTTCAAATGCAAACTGGAATGCTATGGTCATCACAGATTTTGTGTTTCCAGAGTGACCTGCATTATCACCAGATGCTCTGCTTCCTGCGGGTCCAACTTCAAGAGCAGAGGCAAGATCAAGTGTACGGTTTGGACTGGGGGCATCCTGCATAATAATTTAAGCATATAAGAAACCACCGCCACAAAAGAAGAGAAAATGAAATCCATAATAAGAGAGAGTTTTGTAATATTCCATTATAAGATGAACGCTTACCATCCGAGAATCAAGAGGAATGATCCGAAAACCGGAAGGTAGAATTGGACCATCATCAGAAAATGAAGCATCAATGGGAGCAAAGACAAGTTCAGCGCAGGTCCCGACCGAATTCTCATCCACTCCACTGCATAGCTGGGATTCCATGCAACCGGAAACAACAAAAAGCCAATGACTATAGTCAGTAAGGATTCAACAATAACTAAAAAGAACAAGAATTTAAGAACAAGGCCTAACTATAAGGATTCATCAAACACTGCAAGCACAATATATTATAAATCAAATGGATAAAAAATTATACACTTACTTGCAAGAGGAAGATGTCAGCTGCAGGCATAATCATGTCTTCTCGATAGTGGCCCATGTTCTCGATCTTAATGACCTCCATGAACTGTTTACAGAGAAGCCATAACATATCAGAATTCAGATAGCATATTGTGTGAGCGATTATGTTTACATTCGAAGGAAAAATTCAATCCCCAGTACATACCTCTTCATGCTCAATTGTGTGAGCCAGTGGATGAATAACTTGATCTCCAAAACTTCCAGCTCGAGACCCTAGTAGGCCACAGGGACCAGGTTTAATAGCAGCAGCTGAATAAGCATCAATACTTCTGTCAGCCCACTCCGATCGGTGTTCTCGCAAGAATCTAAGAAGAATGGCTGGAGGCACATTCTGCAGGAAAAGGAAACAGAAGAGATTGATAATAAATAAGACGATGTTTATTTAATGAGAACGAGATAAAAACCCAAAAAAAAAAAATCCATGTTTTCACCTGTTGAAAGTCACTTTGCTAAATTGCTTGTTCTTAGTGATTAGTTCAACTTAATTCTGTTAGTTATTGGCTGTAACGCATTTAAAATCCTTACTTGGAGTAACATGGAAGCTTTGGCACATAACACAGCATTGCTCATTGATGGAACTCCATTGGCATAAAGATTTGCACCCATCATCTTGCCCGGGGATGAGTTCACAAGAAGGGTAACATCATCAACACCATCACTTTCTAAAATAGACCACCCCTCATCTGTAAACCCATTAACTGCTTCATTGAAGCCCCTGCATTACAAAAGTTGTAAGGTTTCGATAGGTAGAGTTGATCAACCATTCCAAGAAACAATTTGGAGATTGAATCATAGCATACTTGCTCAATCTCTGACTAAGAGCACGTAGAGCTGCAGGCCTTCTCCCCCAACCAGCAGCATTAGGCTGAGAAACTTCTTGTGAAATCTGCCTCAAGTTGCGTAAAGCCTGAATCAAGAAAAGATGTCTACATCAGAATGTAAGAAACCCCACATTCATCTCCCCAGACACAAAATCCCAATAAAAAAAGACTATATGCCATCAGACAGGACAGGAGAAAACAGTCTTACCGCCATCGTTGTCTTCTGAGCAAGAAGTGTTGAAGACTCATAAAGTGGGCGCAAGACTTCAGGTACACTCCAAGGCTAGATTTAAGTAATCAAATTAACCAAGTCAAAATTTTAATCAATCAAGCCAGGAAATGACATTGCTTCAACATATAAAGCAAAGCTTGTTCTGCATACCTCCAAATCCATATGATCAACAATGTGGATGATTGACCCACCACCTTCACAAGGTCTAATTAGATACCCACTTGGCAGCATTTCTGCTCTCACAAAATTCTGCACCGGTGGCATACTTGGACCATTCTGAGTGTTGTTAAGTGACCTTTCACAAACCTACAATCAAAAAAGAGAAAATGACACCAAATTAAAAGGACTTGCAGGGCAAAAATTATTGGCTCCCTTTATCAAAAAATATTCAAGAGCCGCATACCACAAGGCTACCATCTTCCAAAACAGACGTGTAGCGCAGCAACCAGAAGTCTCGAGCTGGTGCCAAAGTTGTGGGTGCATAGAGCTACAGAGACAAACATTTCCAAATTTAATTTTGATAAGTTGGTCTTAAGTTAACAATGGTAAAACAGTGAGATTAGAGAGCAAAACCTACCTGCATGTAAAGCAGTTCAATGGTTCCACCATTGCCAGTGGACAACACATTTAGCACATCCACAGATCGGCAATTTCGGAACCATGAAGGCCGATCTTTAAGGATTTCAGCGACCTGTTTATATACACCAACATCATTAATTAAGTAATCTTTTTTACAAAACTGTACCAAGATTAGTACTTAATCACTAGACCAAGTGAAGAAGAACTTACTCTTGTAGGCTCTAAACCCACAAGGCCGCATGCACGTGCCGCCACACCAGTGCAACCGTGAGAAATAGCAACGATTCCAATGGAATCCGGACCAGGCTGTGCAGTTCAAAATCAACATAATAAGATATTGAATTTAGAACCCAAAAATTAAAATCAGAAGTATCTTATCTTATTAGCTTTAACATTTGTTAAACAGAGTACTTCAAAAGCCTGCATTTTTATTTTATTTTTTTCCAAATACCAGATAATTATGTGAAAATAAAATAATCCAAACAATATTCTATTGCCTTTGGGTAAAGGGAAAAATGAAATGAATGGGGGACCCAAAAGGGTTAAAGCAAAGATTAGTCTGTCCAAAAATTAGTGAGATGGTGATGTGGTTTGAGTGTTGCTTAGAAGGTTAGCAAAGCCATGTAGGCTTGATAAAAATTTCTTGATAATCACAAAAGATGTTGGAGGAGAGGCATAAATGTTAACAAGACAATAGAAGATGATGATGATGACAGAAAAGAGAGAAAAGAGAGAAAGAGTCACCTTCATCCCAGGCATTTGGACCCACTCCACAGCAGTTCCAGTGGCCTTTGATAAAAACTCTGCTAAAGTTTCCTCTGCAATGGACAAAAGTCTAGAAAACAAACAAAGCACAAACATCCCAAATGAGCCATTTTGATCTATAAGTTATAACAACAAGAAGAAGGACAAGGGACAAAGACGAGGCAATTGCATAAAGCACGAAGAGTGAAAAAGACTCAACGAGAAGAAAGAATAAATCAGATTTCAAGTTTATTCACTGACCCTGCAGGGCTGGCATCCCTTGGTGGATGCTGAGGGGTCAAATGGTGTTGACCACTCGTCACCACCGACTCACAACTTGTGTCTGTGGTGGCAAGGTTCGTCTGCAATACAGGAAAGAAAGAAGAAAATCTCAAAAAACCATATTGAAAAAACTTAACTACATAAATTAAAAAATCAACAACAAATTTCAGGTGAAAATTTGGATTTTTCGTATCATCTTCTCCATCTTGTATAAGAAAATTAACCAAGATTTTTTTTATTTTTTATTTTTTGTTCTTCTGGATATGTAAACCTTGAAGATGAATGCTTACATTCTGTGTCTGCTGGCGGAAATAGCTGTTCTCATAGACGAGCTGAGACACCTGCTTTTGCAGCCTATCATTCTCCTCCATCAGAAGCTTGTTCATTGCGGTCAGCTTCCTATTCACAGTTTGCAATCTAGACGCCTCTTTCCTCTGTTTCTCTCTGCATCTGCAAAAATACAGCAAGCAAAGAAAATTCAAAACAAATAATACAAAAAAGTCGCGAACTTGATCTTACCCACCAACAAAAAAGACCAAGGAAAGCAACCCAACTGAGAAATTTGAAAACTTGATGAACAGAGAAGATGGAAATTAGAAAACAGGTGGCAGTACCTGCGGTTCTGGAACCAGACTTTGATCTGCTTAGGCTCGATGTTGGAGAGAATAGGGCACTCGCGAATGAGCTGCTGGCGACGCATAGAACTGGGCTTTGGGCACTCATGGTACAACCTCTCTAAAGCTTCAACTTGCTCTGGTGTGTACCTTACGTACTTGCCATTGTCCATTTGCATCTTCATCCCACCATCTTTGCAGGCTGACGTCACCGCCATCATCCCTACCTATATAGGCCTCCTCACTACATACATCAAAGTCACATAATAATTTACACACACAAAACAAAAATATGTATGGATCTGTAAGCTCGTGGATCATAAAAACAAGAGGTTCGATTGGAAGATGATTCTAAGCAAAACCCACTCACCGTTTTGGTTTGCTAAGAAGCTTTGCTTGATGCCCAGAAGCTAGAAAGAAGCTTAATGGGTTGCTGTTGTTTCATTAAATCATAACAATGGACTAGTTCATCATGATTGATATGACAAACTTGGAGCTTGGAGATCTTCTATAATTTCTTTTGGGGCCTTTGCAATCAATTAAATCTCTGTCCTTCTCTCTGTTTGGAAGCCATGGGCAGTGTCACAGAGTCATGCTGAAACTTGATGACAATTGTGTATATGCTTTCTGTTTTTTTCTCTCCAAAGTATGCTATATATATCTAGAAATGATAATAAAGCAGAGATTTTTAATAGTGAGAGAATGGCTTATAAGAAGAGAAAGAAACCCCATAATACCAGACAGACAGAAGAGGAATAAGAGACCATTTCTTGTTTTCACATCATTTTTGTTTCTCCTTCTCTCTCTCTCTCTCTCTCTCTCTCTCTCTCTCACTCTGTTTTGCTGTTGCTTTTGCTGCTGCTTCTGCTTTTCTTGCAGTGTGGTTTGTTTGGGCACTTTCCAACACTTAAACTCTGTCTCTCTGACTTTCTCCTTTTTTAATTATTATTATTATTATTTTACTCTAGGACTTTTTTTTTTAATCTCTGGGTTTCTGTTCATCAATCCACAGTTTCATGTACATGATGCCACACAACAATGGTGAGTTGATCCGAACCCTCCAATTTTAATGTCAAAAAAATGAAGTGAAAGGTAAATAAGGTGAAAAAACCATGGTTGGCCTTGCATGTGTAAACGAGACAAAATTATGAGGGCTTTCGCATGCGGCCTCATTTTCTCATATGCCCTCACCCCCTACTTTCCATCTCATCATAATCCAAATTCCATGCATAATATATACATGACATACACATATATGCATATATATATATTTATATACTTATATATATATTTATTTATTTTAATCTAAGAGATTAAATCTAAATCTCATGTTGAATGTATAATTATTTTCTAATTATAAAGCAACTCGTTGGACACTTGTGCATGACAACATCAACATCCAATATTGCTTGACAGCCAAACTACATATATATACAAAAATTATCTTATGCAGACATCCGGACATTATTATCGCGCAAAGACTATGTATTTTGTACTATTCCTTTATGATTTCCTGCCTATTTACAATAGTATCTGCAAAATAATAATGTGCAAATATCCAAATGAGAGAATAACTGTGTATATATATATATTTGTGTTATTGAAAAGTATTGGAGTGATGACTAAGTTTGGACCCAATATATTCATCCTTACGCATTGATGATGTGTAATTCAACGAACAGATCTCTTCAATAAAATTAGCAAGTCAACACGTTTTCTTCCTACTATCTATTACTAATCCATAATCAAACATTAACCCTATGTTTAATTCTATACTCTTGCCCTAAACCTAGCAACTTTAATTGAAAAAAACACTTAACTAACCTGAAGACATTTTGATACTACCGGTCCAATTAATTAATTAATCAATCGAAACCGATATCGTATCCATTTCTATTTTCCAACTTACTTGTCAAGAACACTGTCTTCCTAATCCAGCATCTTGGTTAATCTTGATTTAGCGTGTTGATTAGTCGTATGACAAGTCACAGACGGATTGAAAAAATTTGCAGCTCGATATAATTGTCCTAGGTTAAAAAGTTGCTACCTAATTATATCACTTTCTCTTTTTTTTCTTTTTTCTTTTTTAAAAAAACCCTTCAGTCTTCAGAAAAAGAAATACAATTACTTTTTCCTTCCACCATATTTTTCTTGAGTGAAAAAGTCAATACAATTTTGCCAAGTCAATGATGTATGGTCTTCTCTCATCCGCCATCATCAATTTTTCAAATTGCCACCCCTCAAAGTTGGCCGTAAAAAGTTTTTTTTTTTTTTTTTTTAAAGAAAAAAAAAGAGTAAACAAACCATATAATCCTTTGCTATCTGATTGGTTACAATTAGGAATTAATGGCAGACCAAACTAAGTGGTGTTTGATTATAAATTGCTCCACATCTTAAGATAGACTTTAAAATTCAATTGAAATCCAAAATTTTCCCTTAATGATATGGCACTTTTTTGCCCATTATACAAGTTACAAGACCCAAAAAAAAGTTAAAAGCTTTACCCCCCCCAAAAGTCCTAATCTAGCTTAAAAGATAAGGAGGCATGCCAACATCAATGGCCTAACACAAAAGAAAATTAAAGCAGGGGTCTTGAATTTATTTTAATTAAGGATGTTGCTTATATTTTTTTTCTGTAATTATAAAGAGATGCTCTTTCTTTCTGTGAATTACAGTTTGACATATTTACAAAAATAATTAATCAAAAATAAAAAAATAAAAATTTATGCATACACGTCACATTGTTATTGGCAAGAATATATGAGTTCTTATTTACACAATAAAGAATGAAGTTTTTTCCTTTAAATAATTAACTAACTAATTAATTTTACATATGTCAACGGGCTGTGACATTAGCATGTGGGCTAGTAAAAGTGATGGCATACCCCGCCACTTCCGGTGGTAGGATAGAGAAGCGTGCCACCAAAGTTATGTGAATTTTTTTTTAAAGTAAAAAGTTTGGGCCTGTCGCTGGCCGACATGTGTCGATTGGTGTGTAGAGTGTGGTCGACGCCAGCAGACCATATCTGGGTGTGGTCCACACGTGTGGACCCAAAGTAGATGTGGCCCCCGCACGCATGAAGACTCCTCCTCAGCTTTACAACGTGCTCCTCGCCACCACCCCACCTCATCTCATGTTTTACCATTTTCTTTCGTTTTCTGCCTTCTTTCCCTTTCCGCCCTCCTAAAGAAGATCCGGCCGATTGTCTTGTTTCCCACGCGCCGGAAACTTCCACACAAATTGGGTATATATTACTTTTTTATGTACGTCTCTCGTCATGTGAAATGTCACGTGATGATAAATATATAGAATCATGATATACACTCAAGAAGTTATATTTCTGATTTACTTATTATTATTATCTATTATTTCGTTATACTTATAAAATAATGTTGTGAAATTATTTATTATGTGTTGTAAATCATAATATGAGAAGAAGAATTGAGAGATAAAAGAAAAGAATTAGGGATTTTTAGGCTTGATTTTCAGTTATGAACGAAGGAAATACAATATGAAATTTTGGGTGAGGAAGGGTATATTGTTGTTGGGGCCTCTTAGATTCCTTTGGAATCTTATTATCATACATATCCGAGTACAACCTACTAAAGACATAGAGGAAAATTACAAAACTAAATACATGAATTATTGTAAGAGCGTTCTTTTTTTTTTCGTCAATTGATCCGCCACCATTATTGATTCTCTATAAACGTGATAAATGGAAACTTGAGAAAACTGATCCAATAGTTGCCATATATGTTATGCGTGGTCTTCAGTGTTGGGACTCAATTTCTCGCATTGAAAAAGTAGCATAGTTTAAAGAAAATTATTGCATGATATTGAAATAATGTCACATGATATAACACATCCATGTGTTCTAATAAAAGTGAATGGTATAGTTAATATTATTATACCGCGTAACCATACCCTAATACCACATTATAATTACACATATCTCGAGCCTATACATTTAGCGAGTGTACATTTATCCGCATTTCGCAAGATCTAAATGTAACATCCTACATTGACTAATGGAGATTGGTGATGTGCTTTATATGTACATGCTCACCTCCATATAGGACGAGACATTTTGAGAGCTTACTGACTTCGGGTTCCATGGGAACTCAGAAATTAAGCGAGTTTGGGCTAAAGCAATTCAAAGATTGGTGACCCACTAGGAAGTTGCTTGTGAGTCCCTATAAATAAAACTGTGAGGGCAAGGGCCCAAAGTGGATAATATCGTGCTACAACGGAGCTGATCCGGGATGTGACAGAATGGCATCAGAGTCACTATGTCGTGTGGTGCAAATGCGCCGAAGAGGAGATCGGGCTCCTAAAGGGGGTGAATTGTAACATCCCACATTGACCAACGGAGAGAAACCGATCCGGGATGTGACACTAAACCATTCTAATAATTTAATGACTCAAGATATGACACGCCAATTTTTAACTTTTGACATGTACATATTTAATTAACTATAGAATTAATAAAACAAATTAAAACAAAACAATAAAGAAAAAATAAAAAAACCTAGCAACCATACTTTCCTTCCCACCCGTCCTTGCAATTGCCATCCTATCCTACCTTTGGTTCATCTCCACCGTCCACAAATCTCTTCATATATTCCATGAATGTGCATCATAGTAGTTATGGTTTTTTTTAATCATCGTATGCATTCTAACCCACCCCCGATTGAAATCCTATCAAAAATAATAAAATAAAAATGGCAGCATTTAGTAAGGGTGAAGACGTCATTATAGTGGCTCAGTCAAGCAAATTCCAAATTATTTTGTGTGAGAGAGAGAGAGAGAGAGAGAGAGAGAGAGAGAGGTCGGCTATAAGGAGGAAAGGGGGTTGCCATGGGTGGGGTGGAGTGAGGTGTGTCATGGCTATGGTTTTTTCTTTATTGTTTTTTTAAAATTTATTTAGACTTAACAGGGTTAAATTAGAGTTAATTATATGGATGGGTGTCAAAATTTTAAAATTGACTTATCATATCTTAAGTCATTAAATTATAATAATAATTTAGATGTTACGATATACGGATAAATACACAACCTCTAAATATAAAGCTTCCGGATCTATAATTACACCATATCTTAGTGCTACACTTTTGTAAGGATAAGTTCTAGAGGCTATAGTATCAAATGAGGTTGAGACATGGGAAGCGGGTGTTGGGGACCACTGAGAAGAGTACGCGTGTCGCTTTCTTTCGGTGGTGTCAGAGTGACATTCTCTTAGTAGTTGTTTTATTTGTGACATTGGGAAGCGTGCGTTTTGGTTCGTCAACGTAACGGACTTTCTCTCATCGTCGTCGTCGTCGTCTCCTTTACTGTGACACGACGCACCGCTGTCTCCTTGTCCTCTCTTTCCTTTTAAGGTTTTTTAGGTTTTAGACATAAAAAAAATTTCACTTTTGGAAAAAGCCAAAGCTTTTTCAAAAAAGACAAAAAAACCGCTCAACTTTCAAATGAAAGACATGCAAATGTATTGGATTCCTTAGGAAATCTAAAAATAAATAAGGGCATTTTTGTCCATTTTTGCTTCTTTTTAAATTTTTCTCTCTCCTTTTGCTTTTTCTAAAATGTCCCTTCATTTTAATTTGCCAAAATTATTAATTACTTAGTTGTAGAGCTGCGGCCCCCAATTTAATTATATCCTCCAGCTCCCGCTTTCACTACCCAAAATGCCAACTTTTATTTATTGCTCTCTGCAAACATCTTTTACTTGCTCATCAAATCAATTACTCCCTTGCTCCGCCATTTTAAGCACTCATTTTTCTTCTTGTAAACAGCATCATTCCCACTTTTGCACCAGTCTCTGTCAACCCAGTTTCTTTAGCTTGCTTTCTCTTTTCATTTTAAAGTAAAATTAAGACGCAAAACATAGATATAATGAACAATCCAAAGATTATGATGAGATGAAATCGAAGTGGAGAGAAGAAGACTGGGCACCAAGTGAAAGCAGAATTTATGTGAAACGGTAATAACGCCAATCACGGTACGACACTTGATATGCAACAATAAAATGAAAATAACAAAATAGTATTATTACGGTTCCATACAAGTGTTTGTCCGTTTTCCAAGGTTTTGTAATTTAAATTAGAGTGTTACATGTAAAATTGGTGAAGCAGCTACATACTGTAGCTTTATAGTATAATATAAACTAGAGAAACGCACGCGAAGCAGAAGCAAAAGATTTATGAAGAAATTGATTTATTTTAATTTGGGAGGAGGAGGGAGGGCACATCGCGAAACACGAGTTAATGGGAGTGAGGGAAAGTGGCAGAGGTGGGGGACGGCCTCGGCGTGACATGACAGCGTGACCCGACAACAACCAAATACAAGATACGTGATGGAGATGGGATTGCCTGCCTTGGATATGCAAATTCAAAACCTACCTAGTGAGGGGGGCCCACCTTGGATTGTGGGGTCACCCATTGATGATCCTGATTTGATTGATATTCTCATCTCTCATCTCATCCATCGGCGCCCCCTCACATCACAAATTACATTAAAAAATTTGAAAAGGGCCAGAGAATATTCGGCGGCGGCGGCGGCACTTCCTTTAAATGAGCGACGCCAATCTCGGTTGTTTATTTATTTAATTTTCCCCACCTCCCATCACCAGTACATTTAAGCGGCTAGCTGGGGCCCCCCACTGCACCTCTGAGTCTCTCTGACGTGGCGTTTATATTAGGTTTGCTTTTTCTTTACGCGCCACCACCCACCAATAGTTACTTGCTTTGCTCCCAAATCCCAAATCCGAGGCCCACAACTTTTGCTTTTGTTTGTGGGCTCTCTCTATCTCTCTAAGCCTTTGCTTCGAATTCCAAACATAGGCCCCGCCCAGGTCTGTTAGTCCAACAGGGTCGTCTATTTTGCAAATACAATCATGGATTCAATACAATACAAGAGCTCTGAGAATTCCAAATTTCCAACTGATTCAGAGTTCAATTCACGCTACTTCTGACCTAAAAATACATCTTACTCTTACATACACTAAATCAAGCAAAAATGGGAACTTTTTCTCGTCTTCCATGTAAAATCAGAGGGAAATGGTTTAAACTTGAATACATGTTCTTTACACCCTCAAAACATATGTAGACATACAAAGAGGAATCAAAATTGGAAGCTCTGATGTTGGAGAGTATATAGTGTGGATCGATGTCAAACACCTATTTACCATTTATATACTCCAGAAGGTGCCGATCAAGCTTGAAGTACCCGGAAAGAAATCTCTGCAACACAAACAATCAAGCCCATAAATGAAATAATTCTCGGGAATTCAGACCATATTAACATGAAATCATACAACAATACCAAAAAAAATTGCTGAATTATAATCTTCACTAGTTCAAAGTTTATCAAGCGTGATAGACTGAACTAGCAGATTTCATTATGTTACTCAAAAAACTGGATGATTAGAATCTGGTGAACCCAACCCAAATCCTCGGTCTCATTTAGGTTAATGAAAAGTAAAAAACAATTTGAGACCAAAGACTGAAACTACAAATGACATTGGTTTAACAGCATCAACAAAGTTTCCTAATTAACCCCAGAGATCAGAGATTCTCATGCCTATCTATGTTGAATATGAAAAGGTGCAGCACTGAGAAATAATAAATACAGAAGTTGCGGTCAATAAAGTAGGGATCATCAAAACACCAAACCAAACTAAACTGTATCAAATTTTATTTTTTTTAGATCGTTCGTCAAAGCTTTTTTTATTTTAAATTTCACTATTTCAGGTGGTTGCCATTAGAAAGAACTGAACACAGGAAAATTGACTGCCATCTTCACAATTTAATTTGTCGCAGTACCTTAGTTATGGGAGGACCAAAAGGTTTTGCTTGAAAATCTAGTTCTGGATAGCGCGCAACTTCAGCTCCATGCGAGAATAAGACATATGTAGGAAGTTGGCTCATGCTCCCTGCAAGTTCATGGTCTCAATAAGGATTGCTGGGCAGTAAGCCAGTTACTAAATGTAGATAAAGATATATTACATAACAGTGGATCTGAAAGTAATTAATGAATTTCAAGCAAAGATAAATAATTAAGTTTAGCATTTGTTATGAAATATCATTTACCAGAGACAGATATTCCAAAATACCCTGCAGCATTTGGGAAGAGTCCGAGGTCAACTATTCCAAAAGATAAATTTTTGTTGGAATATCTGCCAATAAGTATTTGCAACCAACCACAAAAATTCAGTAATAACTAACAGAAACCATTACAAAAACAATTTAAAGGAGCAACAGTAAAATGATCACAATAGCCGGAAATATTGATCCAAATATCTCTCTCTCTCTCTCCTCTCTCTCTCTCTCTCTCTCTCCTCTCTCTCTCTCTCTCTCTCTCTCTCAAGTTAATGAGCATTACTAGGTGGGAATTATGGCATACATACGTAATTGAGAGCTCAGGAAAGCACCGACTTGAGCGTATGCAAGCAGGAGAATATGCGGCCCGAAATTCAACCTGCAGAAATTATGTCACATTAAGCATATCAAGAGAAAGAAATCTTACATTTAACAGTTTTTGTAAATCTATTATCATTGTGCCTATAGCTCAATACACTGGTTATTATGAGGAAAAAATCCTGAGAAAAAAGTCTGTGCAACCAACCAGCCAAAGTCTTGATGTGCTCCCTTCAGTCAGCAAGCTTTCCAACTGCAATGGTGTTAATTTACTAGAAGTGCCTGAGAGAACTCGCAAAATGAAAATAGATAAACAATTTTTAGTTTAGGACATTATATAGGAAGCCAAACTTGTAGTTTAGAATTTGCATTTAATCAACGTAATGCACACAGGGGAAAAAGAAACGGCTTTCTTGGGTACCTAATTTTTGAAAGGCAGGTTGTTGTGTGAAAATGTATATTACTGCACGACAGAAAACCACAACAGATGTACATTTGGGTCAATATATATGTGTATATACACACACACACACACACACACACACACACACACACACACATAACTGCAGAAAGAAAGAGAATTTGAAAGATACGAACCTGTAAAAACCACTATGTACCAGAGAGTCAAGTGGTAATCCACTATCAAAGTAAGACCAATAACAAAAATCTGAAAAAACAAAAACAAATAAATTACCTTGAGTAAAAAATAGGAAATGACAAAATATGAAACTTCAATTTGAAAACAGACATTGTGAATTTGTTTGTTAGTAACAGATCCATATTCCATAATATAAGTGGTGGGAATGAGATTAGATTGGTCACCTTTGCAAAGAAGATCGTATCAGCAATATATCCTTCCCAAGTTTCTTCCCTCACTATCTATTGCAAATAAATCATAAAAATAAAACAACAGCTAAATGCCCAAACAAAAAAAAAAACATTGATTTCACACACATTCAGAAATTTAACATGAAATGTTGAAGTTGAAACAGTCCAAACCTTGATGGCAGTCAAGAGCCCAAATGCCAAAGCCGCTTGAATTTCCTAGAAAAAAATTAAAACAATAAAAATAAGGTGAAATTTACGAATCAAATTCGATGCATTGGCAACGATGTTTCAGAGAGAGAGAGAGAGAGAGGAAATTACTCGATGAAGGAGGCGATCGGTGATTTGGGTATTGAGGACTTGGACTACGGAGGTCCGGAGGACAAAGTAGGAGAAGAAAGCCAAGAAATGGAGCAGATAGTACGGCTCTGATACCATCGTATTCAAAAGCTCCATTGGCTTGCTCTGCTTCTTGTCCATTGCTTCTCTCTGTCTCTCGATCTGACTACGCTACCAGCTCTGAGCTGAGTTTTCACTGCTCCATCACAATTCACAAAGCTTCGTCCCAGTCCCACAATCAATTAAATTAAAATTGGAAATAATTATTTTTTATGGGCCTATATTGGGCTATAGTACGTTTTATGTGGGCTAAGCCCTCATCAAACTACAAACCCATTTTCTTTTGTGCCTTGTGTGCTCATTTGTTTGACAGGAGAAACGATGGGATTTGATTTAAATAACCCAATACTCCAATTTAACCCATTTGTTTGTCCAATACTCTTTTGGACTATCACGATAGTCGAACTCAACACCCTAGATTATTTTTTCAGCTCAAACTCACGATGGTTGTTAGTTTCCAAACAATTTCATCCAAATTGCTGTCAATAAAGCACTTGAGTATATTAAGAGGACAATTCAGTCCTTCATCTCTTCGGACCTCCTTCTGAAAAGAGGTTTAGGGTTTATGGTTTAGACATCCAATTTAACTATATGCACCAAACGAGGCCTTAACCTACATGTTACATTGGGTTAGAAAAGAAAATGGCATTTGCATATTTGCAAGTATCAAAAAGCTTAAGTAATGACTTAAGAAAGAAACCAACTACAAAGGACTAGGGGTGGGCAATTTCCGGTCAACCTGACTAAACCATCCAATCTAATCATAATGAGTTGGGTTGGCTTAAAAATGAGCGGGTCTTGAATTCAAAAAATCATAAACCGGTATGTACGGGTTGGATTACGAGTTGAAACCAAAACTTAAAAGTAAGCTTAATTTTTAATTAACCTGACCGAACCGCACAACTCGATCACAAACAAATTGAGTAGGGTTGACATAATAATGAGTGGATCTTGAGTCTAAGAAATTATAAACTGCTATATATCAAGTTGGGTTACGAATTGGGACTAAAACCAATCCAACCCAACCCATACCGATACCCACCCCTATCAAGGACGACGGAGCTAGGTTGGCAAAGTGGTAAATTTGCCCCCACCCCCAATTAAGCCTCAAATCCTACAACTGGAAAAGAAAAAATGTTACTTGGGCTTGCAACACAAGCCTGTCGGGCTGGTTCAGGATTTTCAGGCCTTGCTCGATTCATTTGACTAAGCAACTTTTGGTCCACGCTCACATTTACCGAAAATTTCAAATATAGCTTAGCATTGCAGCTTGCAACTTTTGTTCCCTTTCTCCATACATTACACCTTTGCCACTTTAACTTTGACAGTGAGGAAAACTGAAATCAAATTCATTTTCAATTACTTATTGTTTCCATTTTCTGCTTTTGTACTACAAAGATAGTACCCTAATGAGCTATGTTTTCAAAGGCTATATATGCGCATGTGAATGATTGATAATTGTTACTGATACTATTCATTATACTATAATTTTCGTGAGTTATGATTTTGACAATTGTTCACATATTTGTGGGTGATTGTCAACAATTGATGTACGCATACCTTTCCGATACCAAAGGTTGATGCGTGCATCGGTGCATCAGCGATTGTTCTTTGAACTTATCTTTATACCAACAAACCTATCATTTACTAGTCATTGTATCTATATTTGACACACAAATGCAGGGGCGGCCCTGGGGTGGTGCAAGTGGCACCACCGCACATGGCCCCCAATTCTTAAGGGGCCCCGAAAAAAAAATTATTTATATTATATATATTAATATTGTAGAAATTGTATATATACTATAGCATGCTAGACATTTGCAAAAAGGCGTCTCTGGTGGAGTTGGCTCCAACGCTTCTTCATTTAATGAAGCGCCATGGTTTGAATCTTGTTGAAGGCGGTCTATTTTCTTTTTTTATTTGCATTATAACTAAAAACTTTACATAATTATTAAATAAATAAATAAAAATTATATAAAAAAAAACAGAAAGCCTTGAAATAAAAGGAAAACCATCGAAGCTAACCAAAGAAAAAAAAAAAAAAAAAGTAAGAAAAGTACTTTCTTCATTAAAAAAAACTAAAAAAACTTCATTGCTTCTTCTTTCTCTTAAACTCTGATTTTCTGGTAAGTAATCATCATCATTCATCAATCTCTCTTTGGTTCTTTTTCCAATCCTTTGACAATTTTTGTTATTCTTTCAATTTCAGGAATTTCAACACCAAAAAGAGAAAACCCTAATTCCTAAATTCATAAAGACCACTCAAAATCAAATAGTCAGATTCAAATTTCAGGAATTTGTGTGCAACTACTCTTTAATTTGTGATTGCCAATTGTTTTTCCTATTAAACACAGATTGCTTATTGGAAACAGCAAGGGACCTTATAAGGGCACAATGAGCTTATTTTTGTACCAAACATTTAATTTTATCAAATAGAAACATTTAAATTTTTATGAATTTAATTTCTAATTATCACTACATATTTATTCATGGTGACTTTTAGTTATAAAAATATTGTTTATGACATTAAGTTATGGCAAACTTTTATTTATTTTATTTTCTTATTAGATGTGATTTTCCAATTTAACTTTCGTACAGGGCCCTCAAAATCTCAAAGACGGCCCTGCACAAATGACCGTCCATAAATTGGCTCGTGTTGTGACAAGCAAACCACCGGTAAAAATAAAAGGGAGAACTTGTTGCTCTCTCACCGGAATTGACTGGAAGAGCGGAAGAGGGGACGCACGTGGCAACGCGTGGCACGTGCTTGCACGTTACCGTAAACTATAAGATGACGAACCGTGCATGATTATATATCTAAATTTCTAACATATCCGGTCGAAGCATCTTAGAAAAGGCAATGCGCTATAGATCCTCGCCACGTGTCATTGACCACCGTCGGTTTTGGCTTTTGACACGAGCGAAGCACTCACATGGGCAGCTGACACAACACCCAACTCTATCACGTGCAAACTGGACCCCACAGATACTAAATTACTTCATGAAATATCAACCAATTTTTGAAAAAGAATAAAAGAAAAATAAATTGAGAAAACGAAAACAAAAAGGGATGGAAAAGACGAAAAAATCTGTGAAAGATGAAACCCTCCAAGCCAAGCAACGGCCCAGGTACCCTCTCTTTTTCAGGCTTTCCTTTTAATTCACGCAAAAAAGTAGAAATCAAAACAATAAAATACACAAATAAAATGAAGAGATAAAAATAAAAATAAATATCTCACAGCAATAAATAAGAACAACACATTAACACCTTATCCATTCTTCTACCTAGACTTACCTCGGGATTGCTGTCATCAAATTCGGGTCCCACCTCACTCAGCCTGCACTTCTCGATGTCTGCCACGTGGTAACTTACCCAATATTCAACCGTGTTTGTTCACCATCTCTTTTTTGGTTTGAACTCTGAAGTGTCCACCATCAGCTTACCTCCTTATGTATGTTAATTGGGAGGACGTGAAGGTTACTATTGTTGACGGCAGTACAAAAGTCAATGGCAAAGGAATCAAATTTTTCCCAGCTAACACAAATAAAATTATAAAATATGAAATTACGTGATGGCATTTTGCTTGAGCCCCCCTTTTCAACCATATAAACAAGTAACGCTAGAATAAGTACGTCCCCTTTCAACAATGTAACAAGTAACATTAGAATAAGAGTCGGTAAAAAAATTTGTACTGTAGACATGAGTAAAGCTAGTTGGATGGGATTGTATTCGCTCGTTGCAGTTAAATTTGAATCCCCCTCTTCGTAGGTTGGATTAATTTCAAAGTAACTGAAATTTAAAAGCATATATGCTCTTATAAACAAGTAACACTAATCATCGTTATGGGCTTCATAAATTAGTACAAATTCAATTGTTTTAACAATTTAGGATGGTCCTCGTAAAATTACTCTTTGTGTTTTATTGATTAAAGAGGGACACGCAAAAACAAATGGAAATAAAATATTTGTACTCTTAATTTTTTATATAAGTATGCCACAAATTGTCACTACTAGAAGCTAGTAAAAAAAGTGTTTTACTAATTAACAACAGACTCGCTCATAATCCTACGCGGCAAGGGGAGGTAAAAAGTGAAGGGAAACCCGAAGTTGCAGGGTTGTAGGAAGAGGGGGACACGTTGGGTAGATCACAGCCGTTGATCTGTCGAAGTTGAGCTGTAACCGTCGTGCTTACAAGTGAGGGCTTCCATAAAATAAAGCCATTTTGCAGAGGGATTAGTTAAAAGCACATATTATAACCAAATAAAAAAACAAGTAAAAATCAGAGAAAATTAAAATAAAAAATAAAAAAAACAAAGAAAAGCACGTCTCCCCATAAAAATTAAAGCAGAGGAATCGGTCTGTATAAACTTGGACGCTAATGCACAAGGCCCAGCGATAAACCTGCTAGATCGGTTCCTAAGGGGTTGAATTTTAACTCTTAATCAGGGATTTAATTATATTTTAGTGACTAAATATTCCAAATTAAAAATTAAGGTCCTCTTTTACCCTTTTACCCTTCCTGCGTTACCCACTGTTATTCATAGATTGCCAAATTTGTCCACGCCAAGACAAGGGTAACTTATAAGGAACACCAAATGTAGTGTACTTGATGATTGTATGCGGTACATGCTGTGATTATTGTTGTACAACTGGGTGATTATCACCACAATCATCAATCCACGTGCATCTGATTTTGAAGAAAAGAATTTGTGCGAGCTTGGTTTAGTGCGTTGAGTAGAAGAATAGTCGTGTATGCTTTATTAACTATAAGTACGTATAATCTTTTGACTAAATTGTTATGTTACTCATCACTTTTATTGAGATTGTTAATCCAACAAGTGGATCCCAATAAAATTACCCGTATTGTCCATGAAACACCAAAGAATCTATTTGGGCACTTCTCTAGTTGTAAGTGATTATGACCTATTCAAAATCACTTATGGGGAGAAATATATTCTACGTGCCTCTTCATATAATCACTTTTAATTTATTTAAGTGATTCTAGAGATGTGTGCTTCTCCATAAAAGTGATTATTGACATATTCATAATTATTCCCAAACAAGTCTCTAGACTACAAATTGAATGCTTTACAATAGACACTCATTGTACTCTTTATAAACAAATCACAATTTGAGACATGCAACAATAACACATTAAAATTACCAAAAGAAAATTTTGCACGCATATCAAAATGTGATTTGTCTATAAAGAAGTAACGGAAGCTAAAAAGTAAGTGTTAAAATCACTCGCAAACACAATGCCACATAAAAGCAAAGGGACAAAATGGGCAAAGCAAACAAAAAAGAAAAAGGGCACAAAAGTAAGTTGGGGAGATTTCCCTTTAAAACGAAATTAAAGCCCCTTTAAAATTTTGTTGTATTAAGTGAATTAATTATTTAACTTTTAATTAATTATTATAGAGGCCTTTTATTTTGCTCGTCAAAATCCACCATTTTAGGTGTCCGTCTGTCCCCCTTGAAGCGCAAAATAAACCCTCTCGGCTCTCCCTCTTCCTACACTTTCTCTCACTATTTTCTCACTCACTTCCTCTCCTTCCTCCTCTCATTCCTCATTGCCTGCCTTAACACCAAAACCAGAACTTCAAAACTTCAAAAACCCAAAAAAAAAAGATAAAGAAAAAAAAAACAGAGGATACTTCCAGAGCTCGTAGCAATGGAAGCTCCCGAGTATTTTCAGAACAGTTTCTGCCCACAATTCACACCGGAAAAGCGCCACTCTTTTGACAATAATAACAATAAGGCCACCAATGGCGGTGGCGGTGGCGGGGACCATTTCATGGTGGAGGACCTTCTCGACTTTTCCAATGACGACGCGGTGATAACCGACGGTGGTGCTACTTTTGATAACGTCACCGGAAACTCCACTGAATCTTCCACCCTCACAGTCGTCGACAGCTGCAATTCTTCTTCCTTATCGGGCTCCGAACCCAATGTCATCCCCGATATCGGGTCCAGAAATATCGCAGAAGGCCCATTCTCCAGCGACCTCTGCGTCCCGGTATATACAATAAATTGCATTTTGCTGCTTCTCAATTGTCATTTTTCTTTTACTGGGAAAATTCATTTGTGAATTTGTTTTTCAATCCCAAAACAAAACGACAAAATCCATGATGGAATGAAATTCTCGGCGTTACGTAATTGGCACTTGGCTACAGTTCTCGGAAATTCGAAATTTGAATTTAAAAAATTTGAATTCAATTGGGTATTTTTGATTGGTTTTCATCAATTAATTAATTATTTTTTGGAATTTTTTTGGCAGTACGACGATTTAGCTGAGCTCGAATGGCTTTCGAATTTCGTGGAGGAGTCGTTTTCCAGCGAGGACCTGCAGAAGCTGCAGCTGATATCAGGAATGAAAGCCCGACCCGATGAGTCAGCTTCCGAGACCCGACAATTACAACCCGAACGCAACCGAAACGACAACGCTCACAACACCACCACCACCAACAACAACCCGATATTCAACCCGGACGTTTCGGTACCCGCCAAGGCCAGAAGCAAACGGTCCCGGGCGGCCCCATGCAACTGGACCTCCCGCCTCCTCCTCCTCTCCCAGCCGACGTCGTCCTCGGAGCAATCCGACGTCGTTTCAAGTGGGCCGGCATCTCCGTTACCGCCGCCGTCATCCACCGGGAAGAAAACGGTGAAGTCCGCCCCGAAGAAGAAGGAGAGCCCAGAGGGTCCGGGAGGAGGACCGGGGGAAGGCCGGAAGTGCCTGCATTGCGCGACGGACAAGACGCCGCAGTGGCGGACAGGGCCCATGGGTCCGAAGACGCTGTGCAACGCGTGTGGCGTCCGGTACAAGTCAGGTCGGCTCGTACCCGAGTACCGACCCGCCTCGAGCCCGACGTTCGTGCTGACGAAGCACTCCAACTCGCACCGCAAGGTGCTGGAGCTTCGGCGCCAGAAGGAGATGGTGAGGGCGCAGCAGCAGTTTATTCACCAAGTACCGCCGCAGCAGCATCACCACCACCATCATCACCATCAGAACATGGTTTTCGATGTATCCAATGGTGGAGATTACTTGATTCACCAACACGTGGGGCCCGACTTCCGGCAGCTGATCTAGTGGGAAGCGTACTAGAGTAGCTAAAACTAGGCAACTTTTCGGGGTTAATTTAGCGGGGCCCAGTTGATCTTCTTCTTCCTTTTTCTTTTTTTCTTTTTTAATTAACTAGACAATTTCGTAATGTTTTTTTTTCTTCTTCTTCTTCTAGGGTAATTTTCCCTAACCTACAATTTGAACTTTCTAGTCTGTTTTAATGTTTTTTTTTCTTCTTTATTTTTTTTATTTGTATTTTTCTCATATTTGATTTAGAGAGTTAAATTAAACTGAACTAATATCAATATGGTGCCTTACTCAAATAAAAATTTTAAAAAAATATAATTACGAAAAGCCATAAAGCCCTTAATAATTTCCTGAAATTGGCTCTTTCTCAATGTCTATGAGTATGTTAATATTCTTATGGTCCCGTGCATAAGGCAATTGATCAAATTTTGTTCATAACGAAAAGGTTGATCACTTTTGTTTACCAAACCATCATTTTACTTGCCCCTACCACGTTCTTAGACTGTAGATTGCTTCCAACGGGTACTTGATGATTTTGTAACTCTGATAATAAAGAGCAATTATCTGTAAATATGAATTCCTATGCATTTCCATATAAGATTTATATATGGGGATTTTGTTTCGTAATCGAGGTGGTAACTAATGGTATATAACACAAAATAGTTATGGTTGTCCAAATATGTACCCCACTAAGTTGGTGTATGGTGAGAGAGAATCATGTTATCTTGTTGACACCCCAACATCACCAAGTGAAAGGTCTCCAACCTAATCATAATTTGCATGACAAGAAATAATGCTGGACACCACCTCTTTAAACTTTCATATTACTCATTATTCACACAGCTAAGAGAAATTAAAAGAGAGTTAGTTGTAAATTAATTACTGTCCTATTTAAACTATTACTGTTAATTAACAAAGAGTAGTTGTCTTGGTTCGATAATGTTTCAAATTCGACTAACACGAACACAAAAACAGTACACATTTATAGTGAGTTTGATACATAGTTGTGACTAGCTAGTCGAATATTATATTTTTTGTGCATGAATTTCAGTGAAAAACTGATCATGGCCAGTGGGGATTAACCATTGCAGAGAATGTTAGAAAGAAAAAAGCAGATTGGCTAGCATATTTTTCGCATCGTTTTCTGCTGCATAAAATCCGGTTGGCGCAATTGGTTTACTTCATAAATATTTTTTTTTCTTGCACAAGTTTTCTCACTTTTTAAGACTTCGAGAAAATGAAAATACGAATTTCCCCATGAAAAGGAAAATGATTGAACATGCATGTATTTCGCAAAACCCACCTCCCATATATTTAAGTCGCACGTGGTTTCACTTCTTAATTTCTTTGTTTGATTGTAAACGAATATATTGTGTCACTCCGAAAACTATGCGTTATATCAACCCGGTGTATGTAAGTTCTTCTTCTCAAAAATCCGTGTATGCAATTTTAGAGAGAGATTTTTGAGTCGCAATATTCTATTTTCTGGTAATGAAAATTAAGTTGTAAATTATTGTTGACAATGCTTATGATAATGTGTATGCATGCAGGATCCTAGGCAGTGCTGATCCAAAGGTCTGTTAATTAAGTTAATAATAATACATTGTTCTATAATTAATAATATATATTTTCTAAAGCTGGCTATGGACGATTTTTCATTTGGTCTTAGCGTTGGCCGAGAAAGTGAAAAAGAAAAAGAAATAGGGAACCTTGCCCAATGGCAGAGGGCTGGTGGGAATAATGATTTTTCGAAAATATAAAATTACATCTTTAATTTAATTATTCTGATAAGCATTTGTACATTAGTATGAAGGTGTAGCAAAGTTTGCGGTGGTCACATGCCTCTTTTTCATGCCCTCATGCACCTCACAGTGCTTTATGATGCCATCACTGACACGGACACACAAGAACACCAGTTTCTGCATTAATATTAATTGTTATAAAGCTGCAGTTATAAAATACTTTGGGGGAAATTTTTTTTTAATTTCATATTTTAAGTAAATGGGTTAGCCTAAGTGGGTTCAATTTTACTGTTTCAGACTCATTGATTTTACCTTTTAAGCAATAGCGGTGTGACATGTATGTAAAAGGTTTTTTTGATGTGTTTTCGATGAATTATTTTTGTATGCGTCAAACTGTGATGCACAGTAAGGAAAAATATATCTTTATAGGAAATGGAGCAAACATTATCCTTTTATCTTTGAGCAAAAAAATAAATGGCTTCCATGCATGGAAGATTTTCCCATGTTGATAATAAAGGGTTTTGTCTCCTTTCCACCACCATCTATTCTGACAATGACTTGGCCGTTTGAAAAAAAAAAGCAAGAGCTTTTCTCAATTTCCCTAACATGGAAACCCGTGACTCTACAAATGAAGAAATGAGAGCATAAACGATAATAAACTTCCATCCAACAAGTTGTTGCATTGCAGATACAGATCAGTATCTTATATTTCAACATGATCAAAAGTACTATTACTTAAGAGAAGGTTTTAATATAATTTCTACTGGGCCATTGCAGCATTTGCTTGTAGACATTACAAGGAGCTGCTAAAGACAGTTGTGCAACTGTTTAATTATAGCCATGTAGTAGGGTTTGGATGTTCCCATGCTTCTATTCTCTCCTATTTCTTTATGATCTTTTATAGTTAGAAATACAAAATCACCTTCCCCCGAATCATAAGGTTTAGAGAAGATTACTAAGGCGAATCATTTTATGCACGGATAAACAATTTCTAGTTGTTAGTACATCTAAGTATATTTAACGATCAAAACCATACCACATATGTGCGAACAGATAAACAATTTCTCATTGTTGGTACATCTGAGTAGATTTAACGATCAAAACCAGAACACATATGCGTGAATAACTGACTGTAGCATTATCTCTTATGAATTACGTTCCAGTCATGCTTGGAAGTTACACATTGAGAATAAATTCGTACATGCATAGTTGAGTCTGAATGAAGTGTGTACAGATACAAAGGACTTGGAGAGAGAGAGACCCACATGCAACATGCAAGTGTCCTGTGATGAAGGAGACATTGGCACTAGGGCCCAGGATCTTTTCAAACAAATGGGAGACATTTTGGACATTTATCACATCGACCGCCGCGCACCCTCATCTGCACTTCACGTTTGCTAACAAAGTTTTTCATTCTATATATTATCATATTCACTGATACGTGGCACAATCCCAGTTGCCCACACCTTTATTTTATTCTAAGGTAAAAGAGAATGCATTCGCGAGGAGAACTTTAAACTGCAACTTCGAACACACGCCAACTATTATTACTCTTTGAAATCTAGCAAAAACAGAAAGATCATTATTCTTTTTTCCACTAAAAGGAACAGCAATGTAGTACATTGATGCTAATATAGAGTATAGGAAAAATCGAAGGGAAGGTAAAAGAAATTTGAAGGAGAATTTCAACAATTATAGCAACGAGACAGAGAATTCAATTCTTGTAGCTGTATCCTCGGCATACAGAACTGTTAAAATTAACTCCATTAGATGATGAAAAGGACATGTTGATAACAGTGGTGATGAGACTGATCCATTTAGCTTCCATCTTCCAACTTCAATCTCTTATCGAGGCACGCTGAGACCCAGCTCTGAATATATCAACAAAACAGAAAAATAAGCATAATATGTTAGGACGAACTGACACTATCAGTATCGATAAAAACAAGTTAAACGAGTAAACTGAATCCTTAGCACACGGCAAAAACAAGCTAAATCAGATACGTAATCAGTACTACTACATGAAGCGCAAAAAGTTTAAGCAGTTCCCAATCACCATCAGAACTGAAAACTTGCATGTCAATCCTAGGACTTAATAAATAAATCTATTAGATAAGTGAAATGTGTTATTAATAAATCTAGACATCTGGAAATAAAACGTATAACAGTCAAACAGATAGCAAAATTCCATGCTTCTGAGAGTGCTACTGCCCGTATACAAAGAAACCCTACATTTCACAAGGTTTTCCAGCATGGAATCATAACTTTCATTAACAATTTATCATAGCCATGAGAGCAATATTATACATTTTAAAATAAAAATGTTCAAGCATTCATCATATCTAGACAGACAATATTAAACAACATGAAAATGTAAGCATTCAACAAAAATTTCTGACTCATAACAACTTATAAACTTGTAAAGACTACCATGTTTGGAGAACGATTTGAAGTTCACACTCCACTCATGCAAGATCAAAGAGGGGGAAAACCTCCAAAACATTATGAAACTGAACCTCAATAATAGGAAATTAAAAAGGTAGACACAATGGTTTCAGTACAGTGAAAGGATTAACTGCATACCCCTCAGATATTCCCTTTCTGGTTTTTTCAAGACTGCAAAGATTATATACCGATTACTTTTTCAAAAAACATTAGAGGGATAACATTTCTTTCTTCTTGGAAGCTTATCCTAATAAAGAGTATGTCAAGTGCTTTGTATGGGGCATGCAATTTGGCTCCAAACTTCTATGGATGAAACTTTTAACAGCCACAAGCTTTATCCAACAAAGTAGGGAAAAACATAAAACCTATTAATTTTCAACACTATTGGCAGCATGTTACAACTACCATCCCCAATATCGGTGCCCATTGCTAAAAATTTGAATCATACTGAAAGCTAAAGTATTATCAAAGGCAACACACGATAACACCGAATTCACATTATGACATGTCTGTCAAACAGTGCACTAAAAATCAGTGTCAGCTGGTTTTAAAGAGCAGTACCATAGCTGTTTTCGATGTTATTTACCCCCTCAATTTTTCCAACAATGTAGCCCAAATTTGCTTCTGTAAACTTATCTCTCAGACCAAAGTTTTGGGGAAGATAATATAAATTGCATTAAAGATGAATTTGAAGTGTACAAGATCAGGCTAAGTAAATCATAAAGGCGTAAGGAAACAGACTGATATACTAGAATAACAATTTTCTGCCTACAAGTTTCACCAATTTTAGTATAAACAAAAAAATTGAGCAAGTTAATACGGAAAAAATGCATAACACAAATTCAAGATTCAAACATTAGCTAACTATAGAGTAAAAAAGTTGCTTACAGATAATAAAAACAAAACATTGGAGATATCAAACTCCTGGGTTTGCACCAAGCATACCCTGAGACAACGACCTCGAGCTCCTCGAGTCAATGCCGAGGCACGACGTGAGCCGAGCTGAAGAGACCGCCGAGTGAAATGGAAGTAAAGATTGCAGAGAACCCAACTGAGGTGTTGGCCTGAAACTCAAAAATTCGAAAAAAGTCAAGAGCTTTTAATAATTTGAGAAAAAACCACTTGACAAAACGCCCTAAACTGCAATGCCCAATTGAAATTTAACAAAAGATTGAGAATTTCAGAGGTTTGTAGGGCTTGCTTACCTTGAGAGTGTGAGGGAAGGGCGGGTTGTGGGGAGAGAAGACATAGGTCTGGGTTTGACCGTCGGCTTGTTCACCGTGGATTTGAGAAAAGAGAAAGCCGGCTTTGAAAAAGATCTGCAGCGAGAGGCCATTGGAGCACACAGCAGAGAAATGGTAGAGTTAGGGTTTTGGGAACAACAGGCACAGTAGCTGGAGAGCCAAGGCTCTAGTGGGGTTTTGCATTTTGGGGAAATTACCAAAAGGCAAGAGGGAATATCATCAATTTTTATTTTTATTTTTAAAGTATGTGTTGTGTAGTTGCGCGGCGCCTACAAGACTTCTTGAAGTTCTTGTGCACATAGTAACAAAAAAGAAGAAGAATTCTTAGCATAAAAATAATATTTTTCCATTGACAATTTATATTGTGAAATTCTTGCTTTAGAGGCGATTTGGATCAATGCGTTTTTTGTTATGAAAAATGGTTTGATATAGTAAGAGGTTCTCTTCAACAATGGTTTAACATTTAGCATTAAAAAAAAACAATGGTTTAACATTTGAAATTAGTTTAGGTTGTCACAATAATGAATTCTATTTATTAATAATTAACCTAGAAATTTTACAATCTGTCTAACATACATTCCAATCAGAGCAATGGAAAATTGAAGATACATGTCAGCCCTTCTTCCTATCTTTATCTCCACCGCGGCAGTGGGGTTAGGTCTACAGAACACTAGGAAAACAGATAAACAATGCCCTTCTTCCTGCAGATGAACACTAGGAAAACAGGCATCTCATCTGGCCACTGCTTGCAAGATGGTGAAAATCACCTTCACCTTGACAGCATTTTACAGGCTTCAAGTAGAATATGAGAGAACAATGGCGTTGCAGGAAATAGGCCTCTGTTTCTACAACACTGTCAGAGGAGGGCTTGTTTCCCTGTCACTGAATCAACTAATTCTTTTGGTCCTGCATAAAAACTGAGTGATCAGAAGCCGCCTCCTTTTGTTTTCTGATTGTGTGTTTTGTATTTAATTACGCATGAAGCATGCAATGTAGAAGGCCAAAATAATCCTTAGACAGGCAGTAATTTCAAGTCGTTCTATAATCTAAAATCTAAAACATTTTTCCAATTGAACAAAAGGGTGCTAACTAGTTTACAAAGGAATGCAACAAAAACTATTTTCCAGCAAAGTGTGAGAGACATACCAGGTCCAACGGCAAGAACTGTCTTAGACCCGCTCACAACCTGAGCAAAATAAAGCGAATGTCAAGATCTCAACTACAATCTTATTTCCAGGCCCAAAGGAAAAGCTATAATCTTATATTTTCTCTTCAAGACAAAATTTTGAATCTACTTAGCAATAGACATATAATTTCAGCAACTAAATAGTGCTTTCATTTCTTGCTAAACATCTATATATGCGCATCTATGGAGTATACCCTCTCTTGGTTTTTTGGCTAAGGATCAAATATTCCCTCACAAAAATGCTGATTTGGTACTAGTTTTTATATGCACTCAACAGACTTTGGAGTAATTTTATACATTCTGGGGTTACAACATCATACCTGTGTTCGCCCTGCATCAGCAACAACAAAAGTAGGAAGGCCAATGCCCTCAGCTGCTTCCTTCAGCTTATTCCTGATTTAGAAAAGGAAAAAAAAGAACAATAAAGAGCAGAATGTTATCCCCACATTTATCCAAACAAAAGTCCTATTTGTTTAGTGAATATGTTTTTTAGAACAAAATCACCTGCTTACATTTCTTGTTGATTCTTGCATGTAACCACTATTTTGGGTTGCCCATATTGCTCCCATTGTCTCAAAAGGGATCTGTGGCTGCAATGAATATTTGATGTTATTAACAAATAAATAATTCATGGGAGGGAGGGAAATCATAGTAACTTCAATACTCAAAACAGAGGAAGCCACTCCTAATCACCTTTGCATCAGTTCTGCATACACGCCAGTGGCAGCATCTGCAAGGTTGTGAAAGAAATATTTCATCAAATTATTCAGCAAAAGAAATCAAGAACAGGGTGTTGAGGGAAGTTTATCACCAAACTAATACTAGATAACATTATAGAATCTGAGGTACTTACGAGCACACTGAGATGCAATTTTTCCAGTTGTCATCTTTAGGTCTCGTCGAACTACCAGAACCTGTCATGAGGAGTTCACCACTTGAATATTTTAACAACGAAAACAAGAAAACTATTAAAACAGCAAACTCGACTCAGATCACTACTATATTTCCCTGGACAAATCAGAGCTCCAATTTAATCAATTAAACAGATTCCTTAATCAAGCTTTCTCAATGTATCTCAGAATTAACTTTATCTTTTATATGAAGGCCTATGTAAGACATGCTAACAATTACTAAAGCATGCAAAAACACAGCAGCAACACTATTTTCAAGCCATCATTAACCAAAATATCAATAACATAAGAATTCAATAGTAATTAGAACTTTAAGGCACCAAAAGACAAACCATTTTAAGCTCTTCATCACCATTACTAGTGACTAAACTTCGCTGTTGCACCTTGCCTACTGTGATACTGTTCTTCTTCGACCGACCCTTACCGGGCTGTGATAAATCCAACAGCAACCCAAGAATGAAGCCAATGACAACTCCTGGAACAAAGTTCTCTGGCTTAAAACTCACAGATAACCATTCTCTTTCTTGCTTCTGCTGCTGCTTTCAGTGATGCCCATCAGAGTAAATTTGATATCAATTCCGTTTGTTAGCAGATGAGAATTAGAAAATGAACTATGATGGTTGAATTTAGACTAAGTTATAAATTATAATACAACTATATGGTCTCTTCCCCATTTTCTCCGCGGCCAAACGGAGGGTGCTGCTGATGGTTCCATATGAAAAAAGATGCAATTTTTTTCGTTTGGCTGCTGAGAACTCCGTGTGGTTTCCTTTTTCCCGGAGTTCTCAGAAACCCAACTCGGGGTAGACAAAGAAATTTGAAACCAAAAACAAGAGAAGGACAACTAAGTGATGAAATTGAAATCAAATAGAACAAATTGTACCTTGTTTGGATGCTGGGAAGCGTTTCGAAATGAAGCGAACATGGGTTTTGTTCAGTGGTTTTAGAGCAAGCAAGAGTAACCTCAGAGAAGCAGAGAGATTTTGGTGGGTTGGGTTGGGTTGTCTGCGGGAGGATGAGGTAAGAGGGAAAATCAAAGAGCTTTTACCATAGTGACAAAAAGATAACTCCTTTACCCATTTGTTTTCCTTTTAATTAAACTCCTTTTACCAATTATTTAAACCAACACAAAAATATTGTTTTTAGGGCCTATCAGTCAGTTAACGGGTCTAGGTTACTGAAAAATAATTTTGATTAGCAAACTAAGGGGCGGTTTGGTAATATTTTAATGGATTGTTTTCAGATAACAAAAATGAGGCAAAAACATTTTCAGTGGCACAAAAACAGAAAACACTGAGAATGTTTTCATTTTATGAAAACAAGTTCATGTGTACTTGTAGAAAATAGAAAAAAGTTGTTTTCATAAAAATAACTAACATATTATTATTTCAAATTGTACTACCAGATACGTTTTCATTGTTTTTGTTTTTTGAAGATATTTTCTAATTAATATACCAAACGCATTTTCATTTCCTGGAAATGCAAATTCGTTTTCTTGTTTTCATTCTCCGAAAATGTTATAAGAGATTCGTTTTCGTTTTCTTGTTTTCACACTGTTAATGGTTTTAGATTCTAATCCCATGACACGTGTACGAGACAACTCACACCATATGGCCCAAAAAAGACGTATCAGTCCGAACCCACGATAAATTGTGATAATAGCCTAAAACAACCAAACATGGCCCGTCACAATGGCCTTAACGTATCTTGAGGATCTACCTCACAATCCAATACTCCAAGGCAAGCTTTGGTATTCTCCTCATTCACCCAACTTCCCTACCCACCCGCTATCCCTCACGTACTCCTCATACTCACACAAAGAATCCCAACCACATTCCCCCCACATAAACATCGAACAGTTATCTTTCTCGTCCTATTTTGTTGAAAAAATAAATCACATTTCAAAACACCACCTTAACTACCATAACTGATTTGGGTTTCCTCCACAATTCTTCCCAATGGAGTCTGTTGCCTCCAGCTCCTCTCCACCAAACCACCACCACCCCCAACGGCCACGGACACGGTTCAAGCCCACCCAGCCCTTTGCGGACCGTATTGTCCGCGCCCTCCACCACGACCTCCGCCTCCTCCACCGCAGCGAATCCACTTTCTTCATCCTGGGCGCCACGGGGAACGTGTACACCGTGGCCTTATGCGCCACCCCTTCATGCACGTGCCCTGACCGCACAACCCCATGCAAGCACATCCTCTTCGTGTTCCTCCGAGTGCTCGGCCTTCCCCTCGACGACACGTGTCTCAGGAGGAGGACGCTCCGGCCGTGCCAGGTTAGCCGCCTGTTGGGGCTGCCGACGCTGCCCGAATCACTGGCTGGTGTAAGTGTTCGACAGAGGTTTCATCAGCTGTTTTTCAACCAGGGCTCGTCAGCTTCATCGTCAAGAACAAGGCCAAGGGATGTGGAGATTGAAGAGGGCAGAAGCTGCCCCGTTTGCTTGGAGGAGTTGGGAAGGGAAGAGAGAGTGGTGGCTTGCGGGACATGCAGAAACCCAATTCATGAGGAGTGTTTGATGAAGTGGAAGAGGAGCAGCGGGAGGAGGTCGGCTTATTGTGTGATTTGTAGGGCAAGGTGGAGGGATATCAATAGGACGATGGAACAAGACAAGTACTTGAATTTGACTGCTTATGCTACGAGTCATGATCAAAAAGATGATTCTGATGAGGGTCTCTGTGGTGGTGGTGGGTAAATCCCATGTTTATAATGTAAATAATTATCAGCAGGACAGGTTAAAAAGGATTAAACATAATTGTAAGTTGATATTGAAATTGTAAATTTGGAAAGGAAATGACAAAGTGCTTTTACTATCTGTCATAATCGCAGCATGGAAATCACATGGGAAATTCGAAAGCAAAAATGACAAAGTGCTTTTGCAGAAAGCTGATTGCTCATGCCACTATTTCTTGATGAAATGGATGGCTGCAGCTAACCAATTCCTGCACGCTCTTTTGAATTGACACTTGTTCAATTATTGTTTGACAAGAAGTAACAGAAGCAGATAAGCTTTCTTAATGCAAGGTATGCGTCTATGCTTAGGCTTGTTGTGACAGCTGACAAACTAATCTAGTCCAATTTAACATCTGCCAATTGCAGCTTTACAGAACAAAAATTAACAAAGAGATTACTATTGTCAAAGAGATTAATGTTACCAAATTTAGATTAATGACAAAACTATAAAAGAATATCAAATTTAAAATGTGCCCAGTTTACAGATAGGTAAGATAATTTCCATTCAACCATTGACACTGACAGTGAGCAGAAAAATCTTCAGCATACAAGTGTACCTCTCATTGGCAATTTGTCAAACATCTGAACAGCCGGGTCGTCAAAACACAAAAAAGTTCAGCATAAAAAGACCTCTGCATCGCTGAGTGGCAATTGATCACACACCTTACCTTCTGGGTGACTCTAGCTCTAACAATGGACAAGGAAAGCGCCACTCTTCCTAATGGCGGCAGCTTGTCTCGCAAAGTGGTGGCAGTGGCTGCCGGAGAAGCCCACACTCTGGCTCTCACAGGTACTAGACTTTGGCACAAGCAGAGGAGAATTGATGAATTTTGATCTTTAATGGCTGTCTGTGGTGTTGATTTGCAGGGGATGGCTTTGTGTATTCATGGGGAAGAGGCATGTTTGGGCGTCTTGGGACTGGTGCCGAGGCCGACGAGCTCTTCCCAGTTCGAATCAAATTTAATGATCCACGTTCTGCAGAAGAAAGGAGGCTCAAGCTTGTGGGAGTTGCCGCTGGTTCTTACCACAGTCTTGCTCTTGCTGGTGAGCTTTAGCTTTTAGTCAGATTTTGATGTTTTTAGTAGTATTTGGGTTCTCAAAGGAGTGGAATTTCCAATATGAAATGGGCTTTTAGAACTGTTCAGATGATTGCTGTGAGTTTATTTAGTCTTTGATTCTAAGAAGTTTTGGCAGATTTCTGTGGCAGACTTTGAAACTAATAGATGGTATGTTGGTGTTGCACAAAGATAAGGCTTGTTTTGTGTGCGATTCTTTCTGCTGGTTGTATGCTTGCAGGCTTCCTCAGTTCTCTTAGTATTTTTGTTTACACACTTTTTCCATCCTTTCTCAAGCAAGTAAAACTGGTATCCTTGTTGGAGGACCCACTGGATGGTTAAAGTTCATAACTTTACCCCATTTACACCCAATTATCAGGCCAATTTGAAGTTTTTTCTGAGTTTAATGGCATTAGAAATTTATGCCAGGCAACTAAAGCCTATTGATGAGGTATCAAGTTATCAATAGTCTTGCAAGCTCTTGATGAGTTTAGTGGAAATGAAAATGTTTTTGTTACATTATGCTTATGTAAACTGGTAGTATGTGTGATTGGATTTGGTTACTCGACACACTTTATGATATATGAACTAACCGTAGAGGATAGTAGACATCAAAACTATGAATTTACATATGGCAATAGGTTTTTGGTTCTTTTTAAAACGAACAACACACAAAAATAGTTGAATGGTGGACAAGATTCTTCTCCGTTCTAACTCTACTTGTGTGATGGCAGATGATGGATCAGTTTGGTGCTGGGGTTACAACACCTGTATCCTTCACTATAGGGTTATATATGTGCTTTCATTAATTCTGTGCAATGAAATAATCTAGTTATGGAAAGTGCATCCCTAGTTCTTTTTGTTTGCTCCTTGTTTACATTCTTAACTGTTGAATGGATGGCCAACTTGGTGTAAATGGAGGAAATTTTCTGGTGCCCTGCTTGCTGGAACGGTTCCTTGAGGTGGGATCTGCGACGGAGAGTGAAGTGCCACTACAGGTATGGAAAGAATTGTTTTACCGCTGCAGTGCACTAAATACCTGATGAAGATAAAGAGCCTTATGTGCTGTTTTTTTTGTTTTGGTTGCCAAATCCGTCTACATCAGGTTTGTTCTGTTAAAGCTGGAGGAATGATGTCTCTAGCCATTGATAATCTAGGTGGCCTTTGGATGTGGGGCAGTTGCCCACTAGAAAGCAGCAGCAATGAAGGTGGGTTCTCGCTTGTGAGCAGTTTCACTCCAACCCCAGTGTGGGATTTTTATGGCCATACTGTTGTGAAGGTGGCATGTGGAAATGAGCATGTTGTAGCCCTAGTTAGTGCTGGAGAAACATATAAAGGCGAAGATCTCGTTTGCTTCTCTTGGGGAGGTAACAACCATGGTCAGTTAGGCTTGGGGGATAAAGAGTACAGGAATCGTCCTGCAATTGTTGAAGCTTTTAACCAGGACTCTCCTTTCGCAGTTTATGAGGTAGCATGTGGGGCTTTTCACACGGCTTTGCTCACCCACAAAAAACGGCCAAGTGACACATTAGAAAGCATGTGCTGGACGTATGGCCTCGGAGAAAATGGGCAGCTTGGGCACGGAACCACCCAAAGTGTATTGTCTCCTGAACCTGTGAAAGAATTGCCACAATACATATATTTGGTGTCTGTCGACTGCGGCTTATTTCACACTAGTGTTGTTTCATCTGCTGGAGATGTGTGGTCATGGGGAATGGAGAAGGGTCTTGGTCTATACCCAGATGCCGGTTATGCTGGGGGTGATACAGGGGATGCTGTTTCTCCTCTACAGATTAATGGATTGAATGGGCCTAGGTTTCAGGATCCAGTCCAAGTTGTTTGTGGAGCTGCTCATACTGTTCTTGTTGCAAATGATGGATATAAGCTTTGGTCTTGGGGGAGAGGAAGGAGTGGGGTTCTTGGAAATGGTAAGACGATTGACTGTTATGCTCCCACTGTTGTCTTGTGGCCTCCACTTACAGAGGATTTCAAGCAAGAAGAACTAAATACTGTTCATAAGGAAGCTACAGCTACTATTGACGATGGAGATAAAATCGGGGAAAAGAATTCTACAAGAGACGCGGAAACAGAGAAAAGGCTGTCTTTGGCAATGAAAGAGATGAAGCTTCTTCAGTCAAAACTTTCAGTGATGGAGAAGTACGCTGGCATACTTCATGGCTCAATATTTGGAAAACCCATGGAAGAGCAGGATATTCCAGTCTCATTGCAGAACTCAGGTGGTTATGACATTACAAGGGAATGGGAGAACATGTTAGAGTCAGCAGATCGTGCCAAGCTCGTCAGGCTGGAAAAGTTCTACCGGAATATGCTTGCCGGTGTGAAAGATAAGCAAATGAAGAAACGGATTCAAGAGATGATAAAGGAATGCCTGAATTCTTCTACAATAAACAGAGGTAAGGGAGATGTGTAATTCTGAAATGCGAATACAACGGGCAATATACATATGAGAAGTTCAAATGGAAGAGAAGGAATGTTCTGCCAGGGGAACTAGGGCTATAAACAAGACCCTTCTCATATTGTTTATGTTTTGTGAAACAAATCTCTTTGTAGTTTGTACAGAGACTTTGTCAGTTGGTTTTGGCAGGTTGCTTACTATGGTGTATAAGTGATGAGAGTTTGAGTACTCTAGAAAATAAAGATTATATGTACAAACAATGTTCTCCAAATTATTTGTACCGTTGAATAAACAGCTTGTAGATCAAGTATTGTGAGCACACTTGTGAAGTATATAAGTTTTAGACTATGGTCTATGTGGAACAAGATTCGATTTATAATTCTGGTGACAGAGTACTTATTTTCGTACTCACGATAAGAGTTCGACTCTCGTTCTTCTTTTTCTTTTTATATCAAAATGAATCTTTAAACTGAAGAGATTAGTAAGGAGGATTATTTCTCTGCATTTAAAAACATGAATTTTGCTGCATTTCAAGTTACTATTTGTGCTTAGTTAATTTCCAATGGAAAATATTAATAATAGCCGTTGAAGATTTGCAAAGCTAAGGGGAAAAAAAAGGCAAAGCGCCTGGATAACATTTGACCGCTACCAAACACACCCAAATTGCTCATCCCCTCTTCAACTTAAGTCCCCAACTTTCACCGCGACGCGCGCTTCAACTTTCCCTCTCTTTTCTCCCTCACAAACCCTCCCAAAACCCTAACCCCACTCACTCTCCACTCAGATTTCCCGGTCGAAATGCCCGGCGTCGCCTCTGGTTCCGGCGATACGCGCGGCGACTCAGGCTCCAACGACAGTTCTCTGGTCCCATACTCGCCGGAGCTCCGGCAACCCGTCGTCTATTCACTTCACCACGGCCTCAAGCCTCCGATCGGTCGCCTTTCCATCTCGTGGTCCCGGGGCAACAATCTGCGCGTGTCGGTTCTCCGGCCACCGTCCGCAGAAGACTCTGACGACGTCGAAGTTGGCGGGAGAGTTGTGGAGGTGAGGCTCAGTAATGGAGACGGTGAAACTGGTGATGCGAAGTGGCGGAGGATCGCGTACGGTTCCGTTCCACCATTCGCGCTTCTCCAGAGCCGGAGGAGCTCTGTCGCGAGCTTATCGAAGATGTCAATGAGTCCGTCGCCGTATAACATCGATTGGTAAGTAATTTTGTAGACACTTTGGATTAGTCTGTTTGGTTGCCGAGATGAGGAAAAAGTGTAGAAAAGCTTCAAATATCTAACTTTGTTTTTAATTTTTTAAAAATTAGGTGGGAGTATGTGATGGAGTACAGCAAGGACATAAATTCACTTCTCGGTGACTCCAAGGCGCCTCCTAATCCAGTGATTGACGACCCGAAGACAGTTTTAAGGGTGAATTTGCGTTATTTCATGTAGTTTTGATTGTTCAAATGTCTTTCCTTTTCCAAATTACAAATACTGTTGATATGTCTAATTTAAAAAGATTAATGTAGAACTTTAAGGAGCCTACCTCTTTAAAAGCTGCGTGGGAGCTAATGGAGATATTTTATGCTGACAAACAATGCCAATCATGGCTACCAGAAAGGATTGTTGATTGGTTGGCCGTAATGATCTTATTCTCTTCCCTTTGTTTGTTTCATAAATCCAACTTTTCAGTTGTTGCTTTATGATGGTCACGGCTCATGACTCATGAGTACTATGCTTGTGTTTCCTGGCAGGATTATGATAGTCTACTTTCGAGTACACAGCCAACTGTCCATTCAAAGCTTGTGGATTTTCAAAATGAACTTGTTGGGTTACAGGTTTGACCTGTCTTGTTCCAGTTTCAATATTGTTTTTCTGTTTTCATTGGGATTTCATTAAGGTTCATGTGTCATTAGTTTGGGTTTTGAGAAAATCTCTTGGAATTCTACTGTGGTCTATAGCAGCAGCATAACTACAGCAACTAACTAAAACTTTTTAAAATAAATTTGCTAACTAATGTAAAACCATTTTTTTTTTTTCTGGATTTTTTTTTTTTTTTTTTTTTTTTTTTTTTTTTTTTTCCATTGCCTGTTCTCACCATCCGCCGGACCAGAAGTCGCTAGTAGTTAATTTATGGATTCTTTCTATAATTACACTGGCTTGTGTGAGGCTGTCAATTAAAATTATTGTGTGTGAGTGGGATTTCTGGTTGATATAACTAAGCATAGTAATCCTTACGGTAGCTGTCTTTTCATTTTAATCATTGAAATATTTGTTGGGGTTAATGTTGATTAAGTTTAGCCTCTGATAGCAAGTTTGTCACTTTTTGGTTCATAAAGATGGTGGAGAATTTTATTAGATTGTTTTCCACAGGTTATTGAGGACAATCCTAAATATTGGGAAGTGTTATCATCAGCACTGGCAGTTGGCTGGATTGAGATTGTGGTTTGTAGTTTTAAAGACCCTGTCCCTTTTCTTTCTAAATTTATTTTCCTTCTATGCCCAGAGGTTTCTGTCTTCTGAATAGTTAAATAGTTATAGTTTCCAGTTATGAAAAGACTAATAGGTGCCGTTTGTTTTCATGCAGGTGAAAATGTTGCGGTTACATGGATCTTATCAATTCCATCAGCTTGGCAACCGTGAGGTTGGTGAGAAATAGATTGCACATGGAATAGATGGTTTAGAATATCTTATAATGACTGCTACCTCCTTTTAATTTTTCATATGCTCATGTTCTAAGAATCTTTTCCTTTGTGGCTGTTCACGAATTGCAACATACATATTTTAATATTCCGTGTAACAATTCCAATTATATACCTTCTTGAAGTTAGTGCTGAAATAACTGATATATTGATCAATTGTATTTTATCTGATGCCTGTCCTGTGTTTAACTGGATAGATAGAGAATGGACTTGTAGAGACAGTTTCTTTTCTTATTTCAAAGATGCCACGCATGCGTCCTGAAGTAGAAGATGGAAGGTTAGGTGAATGCTACAAAGCAAAGCCCGATTTTATCAAGGTATGTTTGAGCCTGTAAGGAAACGAGTGCTTCTTCTATATTCTGGCTTTTTCTACTATAATTTGCAACTTCAAGTATTCTTGTTGCCTAGGCATGGGAGAAATGGAGAGGGAAAATTACTAAACTCGACTGCAGTGCATTCTGGCTTCAATGTGATCACCGTCAAACCCGGGAGGGATTGAAAAATATGATACAAATTATGCTAGGAAACACTGACAATATCTGCAATGTAACTTGCCATTGGATAGAGCTGTTTATTTCTCACTTTCTCTATGTCAGGCCATTCACAGTGGTAATGCCTAATTACGTTATCCTAATATTAGTTATTTTGCAGCTTTGGGCATAGATACAATATGAACTTATGTACTTGTCATCTCTTTGTAATACATTATCATGTGTAGCAGCTGGACTCTGAAGTAGACAACTAATTTCTTTTCTTAAATCAGGGTCTTGAAAGCATGTATAGCCTAGCCCAGAAATGCATGCAGTTGAAACCAATGTCTAGTGCCCATGGGTTGATAGCAATTATTCTTGGAATCCTTGGGGAAAATACAGAGGTAAACAGTTTGGGTTAGACACTGATAGTATACAAATCTATTTATTTTGTCCATGTTTTTCTTCTATAAAAATCTTTTGGGTGCTTGCAAATGGTACAGGTTATCTTAGCGGAATGCTCAAGAGCATTTGGGCCTTGGTGAGCTTCTATGTTCTCTTGTAACTGCATGTATTTCAGCATTTGGTCTTTCAAAAAGCTGTATAATGTTTCCCCACCTTCCACCCCCCATTTTCCACAAACCCACCAATTGTTGTACAAGTTTAAGTGGCTTTTGAGATTGAAAAGGCTTGAATGTGCGACTGCTTTTCTATTGAAATGTAACTCTTCATTGCTTGCAATAGGATGGTTGCCCATGCCATTGAGTTGTTGACCACTGGGAGTGATGAAGCAGAATTTCTTCTACAGGAAGAACGCCATAGCTTGGGGGGAATTAGTATAGCAGAGTTACATCGACTTGTCTATGCTCAAGTTCTATCATCACATCCATTGACTTGGCAAGTGAGTGCAATTTAGATAGTTCTAGATTGTTTTTGTTATGATTGTTACAGTAGATTCATGATCTTGTGGCTTTCAGCTTTTCATGTTTGGTGTTATTGTACTCCTGAGTCTTCATAATCAAATATAAACTTGTAGGCATTTAAAATTTCTAGCCTTGCACACTGAGACACCAATTTTATATTCTATATTTTTAGTGTTAATGATTCTTGGTGGCTGTCAGCTGAAATTCCTGTCAATTTTCTGTTTCAAGTGCGCTTTGTTTCTTTTGACATTGAGCTGGTAAAACTCAGTGCACGCACTAAAGATGCTGACAGTTTGATGCTTTCTATGTTTGCAGATTGCTCCAATTTATTTGACATCGTGCATGAAACAAGGAATGGGTTTGTTAGAGATTCTATTGTATAAGCTGCCTATTCAACATAATGAAACACTTCTTAAGGTTAGAGGTCCATATTTTAGTGCCAAAGTTTGTTGTTACTAACGCTTGCACAGGTTCTTTTTTCATGAATCTTAGTTTCTGCTCTTTATGTGTATATTTGTGGCTGATAGAAAACAACTTTGTTTTGAACTTTTTGTGCAGAATTTAGAGATATGCCGACTTTATGAACTTGATACCGTTAGTTCAAACATTATGAAGGTATGTGTAAATTTGAAAGGATCATCGTTTCTGTTCATACAAATTATCATCAATTTATGTACTAGAATTTTTATTTCATTTTGGGTTATTAGTTCTATTAGTCCCCAAACTTCGACCTGATTAGCATTTGGGTCCCTCAATTCAGTTTCGTTAGGACAAATGGTCATGCCGTCAATTTTGTTATCTTTTCCGTTAAATGCAGGGGCAAAATAGTCTTTTACATTATTTTTAATTTCCACCATCTGAATATTCCTTTCACCCCAAACAAAATTAAAAACTAATCCCCTTTCCCCCAAATTTCTTCTCCCTTCCATGACCATCATGCGCCACCCACAAACCTATCCCCCCAACCCCCCGCAGTCACCCTCCACTCCCAAAACTCTCTCTCCCCAAGCACCCTCCGCCTACCCAGCAATTATCGCCCAACCACCACAAAAAATTTCTCAAGACACCCAAAAATACAGCCCCCCCATCCCCCACCACCACCTGCAAGCTCCAACCTCCAAACCCATCCCACAGCCACCCTTCACCCCAGCCCTCAACCACAACCAATCAAACCCATCCCACAGCCACCCTTGGAGAGTGAATAAAGAGATACATAAAAGTGGGGTTTTTCCTTTAATTAATTCAAGCTTTCAACCAAATAATCTGTTTGGGTTTTGGGTCAGGTAGCACAAATCAAACAGAGTGTTGAGACAGAGAGGAATAAAGAGAGCAAATTGGGTTTTTCCTTTTTGTCTGTTTTTGTGCAAACTTTTGATTACCAATCTGTGTGGACCTGCAAAACCCTAAACCTGCAATGGTGCTGGGAGGAAAGGGGAAGAAAGAAGAGGTCGGGGAAGGGGGTCAGTGGTGGCTGGGCAGTGGGGAGAGGAAGAGTGGTTGTGGGATGGGTTTTGGGGTTGGAACTTGCAGGTGTTGGTCATGGGAATGGGGGGAGAAGAAGTCGATTGGGGAGAGAGAGAGAGAGAGAGAGAGAGAGAGAGAGAGAGAGTGGGAGTGAGTTTTCTTTTTTTTGGTTTTTAATATTTTTGAGTTTTTTTAATTAATTTAAATTGAACAGTTATTTATTTATTTTTTAATCCACGTGGTATCCCCCTTGGCAAAAAAATTTACCCCAGCAAAATTATATGAATTATTATTACACCTAAATATAATTTACCCCAACAATTTCCAATTCAATAGTACACCATGTGCCATGCACATGCTCAAATTTAACAAAAAAGATAACAAAATTGATGGCAGGACAATTTGTCCTAACGAAACTGAAGTTGAAGGACCACGGGAACGATTTTGGAAATTCAGGGACCCAAATGCAAATCGGGTCAAAGTTCGGGGACTAATAGACCTAATAACCCTTTCATTTTTCTCATAATTATTCAAGGTTGAGTTTGCAATACATTTAGGATTTGTGTTAAAAGGTTTTCAGTTTTTAGATTGCTGGCATGTACCATTGGAAGCATGGTAGGAAAGGTTCTGGAGTTTTTTGGCTACAGCAAGCCCGAGATGAAATTCGGCTTAGCAGGATTGCTCAGCATTTGTTTGATTCAGTTGGAAAGTCAATCTCTGATGAAAGTTTTAAGGTAAAATGTTATTGATTTGCACACATGACAAATCTTGATATTAGAAAGAAAAAAAAAATCAGTTTCATTTTGGGAATGACACATTGTTTATCATTTGTACATACAGCAATGGGAAGGCTTGATTGAATTGTTGGGTTCAGAATCCAAGACTACGGGGGGTCTTGAATTTTTGCACAAGTATGAGTTTGTGTGACCTTTTCTCTTTATATTTTCGTGAGCAATATCATTATCCTCATAAACTTTTTTTTGAGATCTTTTCTCTTAAACTTTTGATGTGTTCTAGGTATCGGGACTTCAAAAAGTCCCTTAAGCAGGTTTATGGTGGAAAAACTACTGACACTGCTCGGCAAGCTGTAGAATCTTTGATATCGGTTAGTGTATAACTTTTATGTGACTGGTGCAGCTATCATCCTACATAAACATACTGCTTTACATGACGATCTAAATAATACTGCACCTTGTTTATGAAAGAGTCTATTCCAACGAGTCAATGGTCATATATTTGAGGGTTCACCTATTATGGTTGAAATTATAGTTATTACTAATAAAAGACAAGATGCAATTCTATTTGGAGTGACTTACCATTTCCAAAGAAAAAAGTTTTTTGTCCCTCTGTTTGTCAGCATCTATACTTTCAAAGACTTCAACTAATATAACTTTATATATTATGATTCTGCAGCTTATGAAAAACCCATCTACACCTCAGCGCTTTTGGCTGCCTCTTCTGCATGACTCGGTAAGTAATTTATGGAAACGTTTTGGAGAAATTTGATAAAGAATCAAAGTTAAAGAACTCACTGAGTTGGAGTTGTGGTATTGCATTTGATACTATTGCTATCCCGGATTCTGACATATACTTGATGTAATAGGTTTAGATTAACCAGATGCTTGATTGTGCCGATATATTTGATGTTATGTGTGTTACATTCTTATTTCATTTGCATTTGGATTACTTTTGTGCAGTTAAAGCTGCTTAACTGGCAGGAGCGCCCTCTGCTAAATGTCTCTCAGACAAGCCTCTTGTTGAATAAACTGCAAGAGTTGTCCATGGCTAAGCTCCGCCCTGACTTCATCGAACCAGACTTGCCACCACAGGCCCTCAGTTCTGTAAGATTAGCTCTTGCTACAAATCTAGGACGTGCCATCTTGGAGGAGTAAGCTTGTTCTCCCAGCAGCTCTGAGATGTTGATGGTTTTTCGTCAGACATCACATATCCGCTGCTTTAATAGAAATGTTGCAGAAATTTTCAAAATTGTTTGTAAATTTGCTTATGTATGAGTAAAAAGTTCAGATTACAGAAAATTATCTCATCGCATCCAGCTCAGAAGAGAGAGGGTTTTTTCTTGCTTTACTCCGTTTAGTTCATATTCTGGGTTATACCTATTTTATCTTAAACAATAATAATATAATAATATGAAGAAAATGAATTATCTTTTTGAAAAACACACAAATTTTAAAAAAAAAAAAAAAAAAAAAAAAAAAAAAAAAAATTGATATAGAGGGAATACAATTTTATCTTGGCGCGTAGCCCGACTTTGGATCATGGAGTCGTCTTTATCTCGTCCTAAGAGGAAAGAACGCCACCCATTTTGTACTGGCATCCAGCTGGTGTATTAATAAAGAAAGCTAATTTGAAAATTAATTAGTCAAAGAGTCGTTTTGTAATGTTTTCTTTTTCCCTCTTTTTTATTTTGGTGAAGAAAAACTGAAATGAGAGATGCAAGAGCTGAGGAAGCAAAGTGGAAAAACACAAAAGAAAAAACATTTATTTTATTTTATGTTGTGAGCAAAATTATGACATTAACCAAACGGGAGATGAAGACTCCATTTGCAATCAACAACAGCCTCACTTATTTCGCATTATAATAATTCTATAATACTGGGAACAACAGAAGGCCGCTGGACTGTGTTGAATACAAGCAATAGTCTAAACTACAAAGAGGATGAGGATTTCTCACATACTACTAAGGTGCCATAAGGGTTCAAAACTGAAACCACCGGTTTGCAAGTCAAGATCCTTTTCAACTAGGCTAGACCCTGATTAGCCAGCCAACCACACTATACTTTTTATACCAACAAGAAAACGAACAAATGATATTGAACTCAAACCTGGAAACTGACAAATATATAACATCGGACGTTTAAACATAAAGCTAAAAAATACAAAAAATAATTGCTGTGCAGTAGAGCATTAAAAAAGAAAAAGAATACATCAATTGGATTTTATAGCCTCTAAACGACGAAAATGAATGAAGAAAAAAAGAATATTCGACCTGTAGTAGTCTGCATCCTTTTAAGCCCATCTGCTCCAAACTTCGTGTCTTAGTCTTAGCAAACTGCTGGAATATACCAAACACTCAAGAATTTACTATACAAGATGATCACTGCCACTGCCTAAGGCGGCAAACGCCTCTTCCCCCTCTGCTCACAAATGCATGAAATTGGAAGCATCTCGGCACAGTGATCATCGCTCCGTACACTAAATACAAGCACTGTCGAAGCCTCTAACAATGTCATGCAAGCCCTTGCCATGCACCATCGCCCAAGGTAATTTTAGAGTTTCTTAGGCAAATTGTAAGTCTTCTTAAGAAACTTGGTAGCTGCTTCATCATTCCTGTAGCACAACACGCGTAGGAGTGTGTTTGGTTCAGTTGGGTTCCACTGGCCGGAAGTGGGGGGCAATGGGAGTCTGGACCTGGCAGAAGAGCCATATGACTCCAAGGTCACACGTCTAAACCGTTCAACAAGGCTCTCAGTATCAGTTCTGAAAAGGGGAAGCACACCTCTCACTGTAGTTGAAAACTTATCTATCAGTTCTGAAGGCAAGCCATCTCCATTGGCCCAGAATAGGTCTTTAAGGGATTTGAAATCGTCCTCTATTATTTGCGAATCTTGCCGGGCGAATGCACGGGAGGGACCTCCAGCAAGCAGAACCAACAAAAATCCATCAAAGGAAGCTCTCATTATATCAGTAATAATCCGTGTACGAACTCTTTCATGCACAGTGTTTGATATGATAAGTAAGTTCTTTTCCAGTTCGTCAAGAAAAGGCTCTATTCTAGAAGATGATGGTTCCCCAACATACAGGCCATCCCACAGGACATGACTTAGGTCATGGAAAATCATTTTATAAGCCACTGCCTCACAAAGCTGTTGGATTGCTTCCACACAAGCCGCTGGTGTGAGTTCAAACTTTTTCCCCAATCCATTCGAGAAGTCTTCTACATGAGCAGATTCAGAATTCCTTAGATGAGTAATAGTACGTTTCTCCAAAACCTCCAACTCACTCCGGATTCTTTGCAATGTGTTTATACGAACACACAGCTGTGGTATTCCAAAGGAGTTATCCCCGTTGAGTGTTGCAACCTGAGAGTTCCTCTTCTGAGGATTTGGCGATTTTTCTTTCTTTTTGCCAAAGCCTTGGAACTTTGATCCCATAGTACATCTGGTCAATGCTGGCATAGTGGGAACAAATGTATTACGTGATCCTGCATATCAGAATGGATAATATTGGTTATCACAAATAGAACATACCTTGATCCACGTACAAATAATTTGAGTTACAAGATTCTTTACCACATCCAGATTTTGCTTTGGTTACGTAGTATTGAAGACATCTGTCGAGGCCAACCATCAAGTCAGGAAGCAATGCAGGATGCATTGGTATTGGCAGCTGAAAGAACGCATCCAGAGTTTCATCTAAAATTCGCAAAACTTCAACAGCAGATGGAGCATAGCCTTCTTCATTTACTTGTGGGTTCCATACCTGTAACATTGCAAAGGATGAGGACAGCTTCAGGAAAGATGTCAACACAATTCAAAAAACTGTATCAAATTTCAATTCAGGCTAACAGAGGAATAGTTTGTGCACACCTCTTGTTGCAGATTCCTATCCACCCATTCTTTCATTCTGTCCACTCTAGTCTTGATCCACACTTTTACCAGATTTGCAATTGCAGCTTCAGCCTCATAAGGGGGCATTTCCCGAATTATTGCCTTGCCACCATCATCACTATCTACAGAATCTTCAACCGCTATCAGCACAAGATCTTTCTCCAGCTTATCTGCAGCTCTTAAAACTTGTACAGCATCTGGTGTCAACTCCGTTATACCCGATATGAATTGTTTAATCTCATTCGCATAGCAAGCATGAAGGGTTGCCACAGCCACTCCAGCCGCAAAAGGATGCCATCTCTTCAGTATGGGACTGAACACCTGCTTCTCCTTAACTGCCAGCTCACCAACGTCCTTTGCAAGGATGGCAAGAACGGGAAGGGGATTTGGCTGGTGTCTTGATGCTCTCCTGCTTGAGTCTGCCTTTTCCATTCTCTGCATAATAGTAACCAAACATATTTCAGGTCATGCATCTAACTTCTAAAGTTTAGAATCTGTTGCAAAACATTGTAACGAAAATCTTTAGACTTTCAAATAGAAAAATCACCTACACGCAGTGCACAAACTTTAGGTTTTATGGTAGATAACAATTTGGAATTCAACTGTCATGCATAATTTTTTTAATTACTGTTCCTTATTTCTTTTAGGCCTTCCACAATAACGGTTTACCGTTATGACATATTCATTGTACTTTTCCCTATTACTGAAGGGGGGATGCCAGTGGCCAATATTGAGGGCTTACCTGAGCAAAAGCAGTGCGTAATGATGACCTAATGTAAGTGTCAATCCTGTTGCGAGCAACATCAACTTCACTTTTCCTCCTCCTACGATACTCATTCGATATATCTTCAATCAAAATTTTAGCTGCTACTACCCCCAGAGAAACAATGGCCTGCATGGTATCAATGTTACTGCTGTCAAAAGTGTCATGATATGCAAGGAGTCTCTTCTCTGCCCAACCCAATATTGAAGTCAATGTCGAACTCAAGATCTTGCAGTATTCGGGATCCTTTGTTGCCTTTGAATCTTTAGCAACCTCGGCTAGCTGACTATCAGCAGCATATAACAGGTCCAGTTCAACTTGGCCAGTTGCCACAAAGCGGTGAAATAACACCCAGGTAAAGCAAAGGTTGTGGAGCATCTGGTTCATTCCAAGGATTGTCCAGGTCTTCTTAATGTGCTCCATCAGCTCGTCAACTTCGTCTATTACAGATGTTTCATCGTGAAGATCAAAGCAGGCTTCTAGAAGCCTTTCATAAAGCCGGAGATTCAATGGTAACCCATCTGCCCAGTGGGATGAATCATAGAGACCATCAGATGACCTGGAAGCAAGAGTTGTAACAGCACTACGAAGAACCTGCATAGTCTCATTATTTATCCCGGTTTCAAAGGGCCTGTCCAATGCCCCATGAATAATTTGCCGCAGCCGCTGTGCAGTATTATTTGACTTGTCGAGTGGCAAGTGGGGATGCAAAAGGAGACCGGCCTCAAGAATTTTGAGGGTTCTTTTCTGCCATGCATCGTATTCTTGTTTATCAGTAAAATCAGAGGACTTGAGCTGCTGTAAGAGCTCCAGTGGAACTACCACTGACTCAATTCGCCTTCCTACCTGTAATGAGTACATCAAACAGAAGGCTTGATTAATACCGACTATGAAATTAAACATGTGTAAAACATTTTGCATTGTCATTTTTGGTTTATAAGTAAGAAAAACCAAAATCCAAAATTAACCAAACCAGTAGCAAAATTGAGCTCCATACAATTATCACAAAGATAACAAATGAAGCATTACCCACCAAACAAAATACAAAACAAAATCAGACCCGAGATCAACCAAGATCACAAATGAGAAAGCAGGGAAATTGAGCTCACCTGAGCAGCCGAAATCCTAAGCAGAGCTCTCCTGACTCTAGAGTCCATAGCGTCAGAAATCCCCATTTGGATCCTCATCAGCTCACCCACCGTCATAACCCGCTTGGGCTTTCCGGGTCCCGACCCGGACCCACCGGACCCAGGACTCTTCTTGGAGCCCGAACCCGGCGATTTGAGACCCAATGCCTTCTTCATCTTGCTGGCAGCTGCGGAAGTGAGCGATCTCTGCAACGCCGGCGAGCCGTTGGGCGAGTTGGCGTGCTGTGTCGGTGAGTCCAAGTGAGAAGAAGCGGAAGACGACGTGAAAGTCAGGGCCTTTCCGGTGGATGTGCGGCAGGCGGCTACGAAGATCTCGTAGGCGGTGAGTCGGAGGTCCGATTCAGTGAGTTGAGCAGAGAGCTGACCGAGTGGGGAGGGGAGATCGGTGGCCATTGCGGTGATGGGTTTGGTGGGTATGCTAAGTGTTTTGGGGGGTGTGGTGGTTGTGGCGGTGGCTGTGGTCCCTCTCTTAGAATGGCCCAGTGAGAGGTCTCTGAAGAGATGAGCCATTGTTGAAGAAGATACAGAGAAGGAGGAGAGAGATGAAGTCCAAGGATTGGACTTTAGTTTATAGTTATACACACTCACACACAACAACACAAAAACAACAGAGAAGTGTCTTTCCTTTTTCTTTTTCTTTTTCTTTTTTTTCTTTTTCTGACTTTTTATCTCAGTTAAAAATAATAATATTTTTTTTACTTTTTAAATGTGTTTTTTAAACTCTTGTTCTTGTGCCTACTTCTACTTACCTCAGGTTTTTGGGTGCAAGGTGAAAGTCATATAGTGTGAATTGATGTGTCAACAAACTCAAACACGTACAGAGAAAGAGATGGCTGGATATAAAAAACATTACCCAGATGGTTATGAGTCTGAAGTTTCAACAATCCAATTCACTACCAACAAAAAAATAATGATTGAAGACATAAAGATTATATTAACATTTATCGCTTGTATTTAAAAAAAAAGAAACATGTGACAAATATGTGTGCGTATGTATATAGAACTGGAAAATATAACTTGACATAAATTGAGTATTGAGGGGGAAAAACTTATAGTTTGTTCTCTATGTTAGTTGGACTCTGCAATTTTCTAAAGACAATAACATAACCTGTAAGGCTGGAATTCACCACTTTAAAAAAATTAGAGAAAATAATATAAGCTAGGTCCTTGTATAGGCTTCAAACAAATTCAACTATGAAACATTGAAGGGAATAATATACTAAAATTCACACGACAAGAAAATAAGTACATATGATAGGAAAGAAAATTACCCAAATTCATCTTCGCTTGAAAAGTTCTTTTTATTTGTTGGTCACAAAAAAGAAAAATCATACTTATACGAGAGTATTTACTTAAAACCGTTGCATAAATCAATTTAAATATTAAAATGACGTATCATGCTTATTCAATGTGTATTGATTAGAATAAACACTGTATGTCATTTGCATCATCGAGCCTATGTCAATTCTACATTGTTTTTACTATTTTCCCTAATTTGTGTATGTGCCATTGAAAAATGGTTCATTCGAACTTGCAAAACTTTGCGTGTCGGCCTTTAGCCCTCCTCTCTATAAAATAAAATATAAATAAATAAAAACCTTTGCTTGCTTCACAATTTAGAATCTACTGTGAGGATACAAACAAGTTCAAGAAGCCGCGTGAGATGCCGACAGTCTCTCGTGGTTCTGGGACTGAAAAAAGGTGGAGATGAAAGCTGGAACATGGAGGCAAGAGAGGTTGGATATGGACTGTTTCCTTCTTTCGTGGGCTCCACACCTGCTTTTTCTCTTCGTTTTGTTATTATTTATACTTCCAGTACAATACAAGTATTAAGAAAGTAATCACAGGGCAGAAGTGATTATGCTTAAGCACGGTTTTCATCAGCGTTTTTATTAAAAGTATGTATAATCTTTTATTAAAAATTCAAATGCTTCTTGAAAGGAATTTAGAAGTGCTTCCTAAATAATTACATTCATGGCATGGCATGGCATGGCATGTATTTGTAATCGAAATCAAAACAAAGAGTTGAATTTCGATTATAGATTATGCATGTGTTTATTTCATATAAAAAAAGTTAGACTACAAATGGGATTCACATGAACTCTTAGATGGGGGAAGTTGTATTCTAATTTTTTGAGAACTAATTCATCAATAATTCATCTTTTTTACTTATTACCATTCATACCTCAATTTCAAATAATTTAGTAAACAACTTGAAATTCGAATTTTAACTTCTTCTCAATCAAACTCATCCTTAGTTTAATTCCTCATCATCTGATTACGAATTAATAAACAAGCCCTCAAAGTTTTCTATAATCTGAGTAATTAGCTGATCAATACCATCATACAGTAGATCCCGTAGGCATCACAACAATTATAATTATTTTAATTATAGTTTGTTGGTGAATTATTTTTTGTTATCCTTAAAAAAAAAGCTGGAATGTGATTGCATGCATTATAATATTAATAATAAATGTCATCGTTTGTATAGTCAAAGCGAAGGTTACAAATTACAATGACAGTTGGTCGAATAATTATATCTGACTCACAATTTTAATACATTAATTAATAATAGAAAAACATTGGTGACTGACTGGTTACTACACGACAACATGGCACACATGGTTTGAGAATACTCATATGCTGCTGCTCCTAATCACTCATGATGATTACAAATAATTCAAGAATAATTGTCATTGTCTTACTCCTCCTAATCCTAACCCTCAAACCTTCTGTTTTGATTCATTCTTACTTCAATTAAAAACTTTACTAAATAAAATATAAAATATAATATAATGAATTGTTTCATTACTAATATCACCGAGGCCTTTTGTGATAAAACCTCACACTTATTGGACATTGTAGGTGGTTAAGTTGAAGACAATATATGTGTTGCTAAGAGCAGCTCCAGCGCTTCTATCAAACTGGGCAAAAGGCCCCCCGGGCAAGCCCAATACAGCTCCAGCGCACCACTTGCAGCCCGGGGCAAGCTCTGGGTCCCACCAGCCCGGGCAAGCCCAAGGGCAGATTTTGCCTGGGCTTCAGCCCGAGGGGCTGACGTCAGCGAGCAAAAAAAAATTCAAACAAATTATAAAAAATTCAATTTTAAAAAAAATACCAAAAAATTATGGATGTTTTCCCTATAAATACATAACAATTTTATTCACTTTCCCTATAAATACATAACAATTTTATATTTTGTTGCATATATATATATATATTTTTCTTGCCTTAGACTTTGCCCTCATGGGTTGAACCACAAATGCAAAGGCTGACACTATTCACGTGAATAGTTGCAGCCCTTACTTGCCCTTACCTTAGACTTAGCCCTTGTGGGTGGAGATGCTCTAATAGTGGACTGTTGGCCTGTTTATCTGAAATTTAGTATGGTATCAGAGTGGGTTGATTGATTGAGCTTGAATTGGACCTTTACGCTTATCCAATATGTGGTGTTCACATGTTGGGCTTGAATATTTACCTCTATCATTTACCCAATACGTGGTGTTCACATATTGGGCTTAAATGATTAACTCTGATATGAACTTGGCTCCACATGTGGTTCACTATGTATTGGTCCCACGTGAGGGGGCGTGTTGAAGAATAAAAAGTCTCACATTGAAAACTTTACTAAATAAAATACAAAACATAATGAATGATTTCACTACTAATATTATCGAGACCTTTTGTAATAAAACCTCACACTTACTGGGCTTTGTGGGTAGTTAAGTTGAAGATAATATCAATGTTGCTAGTAGTGGCCGATGACATAAGTTTAACAAAAAACGAATAGCATGGGTTTAGCCTAGCTCTCCACCTCTCCATTAGTGAACCCACACATCTCATAGTTTAGAAGCTATGTTTGTAACAGATTAAATGGGGTGGCGTGGTGGTGTTTATTCCTTTTAACATTGGGGTGGTCTATTCTCATCTCTCTCATCTCATGTCAGTCTAAACCAAAAACCAGAGACATGTCTAAGCTGGGTGATGACGAACTAGGCCTCATCCTTAACTGGATCACCGACCTAAATGACAGACGATCATTTTCTGAGGTCTGCAAGCAATGGCTGAGAGTGGAGGGGCTAAATAGATCATCACTTCGTCTTCTCGAACCCGATGCTCTCCTTCAAGTCTTACCCAGATTCCCAAATTTAGTCACATTCGAAACATCAAAGTTCATCACCGACGCCGACCTCTCATTCTTGGCCCAAACATGCCCCAAAATCGAGGTAATCAACCTCAGTCTGAAAACCCCACGTGAAATTTCATACCAATTTGATGAAGTATTGATATTTGATCATGTTGGGGACGAAGGTCTTTGCGCTTTGGCAAAGGGGTGTCCCAAATTGTCCAAGGTTTTGCTCAGAAGGAGAAAGAATATTGGGAATTTTGGAGTTGTTTCGCTATTGAATTTATCACATAATTTGACGTATTTGGATTTGGGATTTTGTAGCTTGGTCTCGGACCAAGCCCTAGAAGCAATTGGGTCTGCAAATTCGATTAGCGTCTTGAGTTTGCAAGGTTGTTCATTGATTACAGATCGTGGATTGGGGTTTTTGGCAAATGGGTCTCCCTCAAAAACCATGAAAAGGTTGAATCTTGCGGAGTGTGATAGAATCACAGACTTTGGGGTCTCGCTTTTGGAGCAAATGTGTTGCTTGGTGGAGCTGAATTTGGCTGAATGTGGCCCAAAAGTGACTGATATTGGAGGTCTTTCAATTGCTGCAATTCAGTCTCTTAAAAGATTGAACTTGTCATGGCTGGTCAATGTGTCAGATCATACGCTTGTCGCTCTAGCTGAGAATTGCCTGAATTTGGAGATGGTTGATTTAACTGGTTGTGATTTGGTAACTGGAGCTGGCATTCGTGCATTTGCAGGTCACAACTGCTTAGAAGCTCTTGTTCTGCGTTCTTGTTTCAATGTTAGTGACTCTGATGTGGTAGACATTGTGCTTAGATGCCAGTTCTTGAAGTCTGTTGTGTTGGATAGAGGACTGAGAATATGGATGTTGCCTCAGACACAAGAGAGCATTAGCAGATTCGCGGAGTTAGTTTGGGCTTGAAAGATGGATGCAGCAAGCAGCTGAGTTGATGTGTTTTGGGTTGTGCTCTGCTGCTTCATGGGTTCAGCCAACTTGTATATATCAGTCTCTCAAACATCAGATGAGTAGTTTATCCATGTTGGAGCTTTCAAAGACTTTGGAGTAAAACTTATATCATGTTTCATATTCCTCTCTCTATTTCGAGATTGAAGAGAAAGGTGTATGAAACATGGGATGAAGAGAAAATAAAACATGGGATATGCAAGTTTTTTTGGAAGAATTTGAGATGTAGTGCTATAAATTCCCAGAACATTTTCACTTTCAGTGGATGATTGGATTCTACCAACTTGTACTTTTAGGAGATGGGAGCTGTAATTGTTTATATGAAATCCTTTATTTGTAAACTTAAGAGATAAGATACCCCATGCCTGTTAACTTTACCATTCCACTAAATAATGTGTAGGTTAAGCTACACATAAAGTTTGTGCTCAATTTATTAGGGACAAAAGTAAACAATTATGGGTATGGCTGTACAGATCCATTCCATTGCATACATGATAAGTTGTTTGGTTTTGCCATCAAACATCAATTGATATGAAGAAGAAAGCTCTGTTTCTTTTAGGGTTTGGGCCAGCCCATCTGCACTGGTCGTGCCATGGCCCAATTAAGAGGGTATGATTATAAGGAGGCATCTGCAGCCTTCGATTATATTTGTTACAACTTCAGAATAATAAGACGGAGAAAATTAAAATAAAATAAATGGGGTCATCTTGTACATTGAGAGCCTTAGGTGCAATTCTTCACAGATTCACTAATGGGGTCTCCTCCAAATGCCCCAACTCCATGGCTCTTCAGTGTATACATATCTTCATCTTCTTCCCTCTCCTTCAATTCTGAATTGCACCATTCTAATTTTCGTTATGAAAGTTGAATTTGGAGCTCACTTTGTGGTTCAGGGAATGGCCTGCTGAGTAGAAAGTTATCATCTTCATCTTCAATTTCATCATTGCCTTCATGGATTTCGACCCACATACATGGCAGTGCTACTGTGACAAGAACCATATGGACCGTCTCTCCTCTCTCTATGGGCAGACGTTCCAGCAAAATCGCTGGCCGAAAGGTACTCTCTTTCTGCTTTGCCAGTTGAATGCCACCTGTTTGATGAAAGTCCCATGTCCGTGTGTCAGCGTTTTGTAATCTGTATAATGTCCTAATATAGTTCAAGGGTCATTTGATTTGTTGGGTTTATTTTGAAAGTTGTCAAATTGGTAATGCAGGGGGCTCAAGATGCAAAGAAGGCAAAGCTGTATGCGAGGATTGGGAAGGAAGTTGTGTCTGCGTAAGTTAGTTGCTCTCTCCGTCTTTTTCTTTTAGCGACCTTAGCACCGAACCACTGCTTATTTCTAGTTAGGATATTCAGTCTGCAGGAGACAGTTTATCTAGTTGCTGATTTAGCATTGGTCAAGCTCGAATCTTGATCTGTATAAAGACCAAAGTAATCTCCTAATTCATAATTAATGAGAACTAAATAAAGTTTCATAGTTTCAACAACGAGGGCTAAGGCTATCGGGTATTGTACTCTGCCATTCACTTTTGGTGTGCCAAAATGGTGCAGTGTAAAGAAAGGTGGTCCAAGTCCTGTATCAAATACGGCACTAGCTACTGTGCTGGAGAAAGCCAAGGAGCTTGATGTACCCAAGGAAATTTTGGAGCGCAACATTAAGAGAGCATCTGAGAAAGGACAAGAAGCTTACATTGAGAAAGTATACGAGGTTTGTTTCATGCTATTTACTAAATATTTTTTGGTTCCTGCTTAAACGTTTCATGTTCATGATTTTATTGGTTGATATTAAATAGTTGACTACATATTCTGCTTCTTGTGTCAGGTATATGGATTTGGTGGAGCTAGTATGGTAATTGAGGTTTTGACCGACAAAATAAACCGATCTGTGGCAGCAGTTAGAGAGGTGGTGAAGGACTGTGGGGGAAAGATGGCAGATCCGGGATCTGTTTTGTTCAAATTCAGGCGTGCTCGGGTTGTAAACGTAAAAGTTTCAGATGCTGACAAAGATCAACTCCTTTCCATTGCTTTAGATGCTGGTGCTGAGGATGTTATTGAACCGCCAGTATATGAATATGATACTGAAGAAGATATGTCAGAAAGGTAATTCCACTAGAGAGCTAGATTGCTCATGTGTTGTAGTTGTGATCTTAACTCTAATTTCTCTGGTTTTTCTTAACCAATATATGACTCTGCTAAATTGAAATGATCCAATAAATGAGTCTTGACCCATTTCACTCTGCCTGCAAACGCAAGATTTTCACTTCTGATAATAGATTTCATGCTCATTAAATGGGAGGCTCAGCCTAACCGGTATGTGTTATAAATTTGATTATGTATCCAACCATTTGTGGGCACTTGGTTCAGTCAGTGAAAGGTGAATCTATGCATATTCTCTTGAGAACTTAGATGCTTTTATTAGAAAAAGAAGAGAGTTGTGGACAAACAAGCATGCACGCACACATACACAAATAATTGTGAAGTATTCTCCTTTATTTATACAAAATTCTGATTTTTATTTTGGTTTCTGGTAGCTATTATAAAATTGTAAGTTCAGCAGAGAACTACTCTACGATACTTTCCAAGCTACGTGACGAAGGAGTAATTTTTGAGACGGATAATGGTTCTGAGCTACTTCCAATAAGCACTATTGAGGTGTGTCTCTGGTGCACAGATGATTGTTATGACTTTGATCTCTTACAAGGCTAAAACTTCTGGTCTGATGCAGGTAGATGACGAGGCCTTGGACTTGAACAAGGAACTTATGTCCAAATTACTTGAGCTTGACGATGTTGATGCAGTGTATACTGACCAGAAGTGACCAAAATCTCTATCTTTAGTCATCATCTAAGCGATTGAAGAGCTATTGGCCTTATAATACATCTATCCGGTTCGTTTTCATTTGACCTTTTTTATATCGAGGAAAGTATATCTGTCAGATCATTTAAAGAGGAGAGAAGGATAAGGGTTATTACCTTTCTGTTCTCCCTAGGAAGAAATTTTGATCTGCTGTATTTTCATTACTGGTGAAATTATGAGGAAGAAGAGCAAAAATTGAAATATGATTTGTTTTGGAGAACAAAAAAATTCATGAATAACAATATAAGATTTGAATCTCTCTCTCTCTCTGACGCACACACAGAGGCTAAACTTGTCAAGAATCCACGCTTGCCACCTTCAAAACGATAAAATTTTCACTCCAAGACATACCTTTTAATTTTCTTCTTTGTCTTGTTATTTTATTTTTTCATTTCTTCCTGCATGTATGGGTCGTCCGTCAACGTTAATTTATGAGAATATTGCTTCCACCAACTTATGACTGGTGGCTCTACAAAATTGTTTTATGCGGCAATTGGTTTACTAATTAGAGCATCTAGATTAACAGAGGATGTAGTTGGTAAAGATGTTTTTTTTGTTTTGTTTTGTTTCGGTTGAGTACACGCGCGATGGGAGAGGGGGTTTTAGATAATGTAAAGGTTCATGTTTGCTCCTGCTGTAATTATGAAATAAGATGGGTTTTTTAATAATTAATTAACTTGGTGAAGGCGTTGGCAAAGTTACAAGGTCGCTGGGAGGCCCCACAAGCATAAATATATCCCTCTTCCATGGAAGAAGGCTTATGCTGCACAGTCCATCCCCCTTCCGTGTTATAAACTGTCGCCGTACTTAGTTTGCTTTGTGCCTTAATCATATAGTTTAATCAAGCTCGTCAATTTACTTGCACACGATTTAACCAACAAATATACTGATCGAGCTTTCGATACTGGGAGTTATTACATAACTTGCTTGCAACACTCGCTACAAATAAATATATATATATATATATATATGAACATATTTATCACACTACTATATATAATATATGAGACTACTTAGGCTATATATCCGCATGTTATTATTGTGCGGACGTCATTGTAAACAGGGAGGAAATCAAAGAGAGGTTGTAGAAAATACATGATGTCCGCACATCCGCATAGGAGAAAATCCGTTTCTATGCATACCTAAACCATGAGCTATACAATCAATGCAGTCCAAGTAGAAACATTTTCTTTTTCTCCTGGCTAGCCTCTGAAGTAGAAGTCGTATGAACCATATATCTAGCTCTTTGAATATATATTCACTTTATTTGGAGGGAACCCAGCATCCATGCAGCCCATATGGAAGGCCATAGGGGAACTTAGCTCTTGCAATCTCTTGGAACGTGGATCCATCTAATAACAATGCATACCCATCTCCATTTTTCCCACTAACCATCGAGATTACAACTCCTGCAGCCACAAAAATTAAATCATTAATAAAACCCTTTTTCCTGAAATAAATAAATAAATAATGGACAATATAATTAAAGAATTAATTAATTCTCACCATCATCTTCTTCGGTTGCCCCGGGTCGAGCCACAAAGAATGGTTCGGAGGGTACTGCCCCCTCATCATGCCAATTCTTAGCCTTCTTGTTCACCAAATCAATCTGCAATTTATATTTAAATTAGTAAACTTATAATGTTTGTGTACCATTAATTATTTAATTAGTTTGATTATATATGATATACTATACCTTGGTGAGGGTGTTGGGGAAGTTGCATGGCCGCTGAGCCCCACAAGCATAAGCATATCTGTATTGTTTGCCCAAGTAGGCAGGGTTTATGCTGCACATGTCCAACCCTCTTCCATGTTCGTTTGGGTCTAATGCTGCTTCCAATTTTCCATATGCACTTCCATCAAATGGTATTCTAAACCTTCCAACCCTGAGTTTTTAAAAAGCCAAACAAATTAATGACCTAGCTCCACATTAATGTTAAGTAACATAAGATGTTACAAGAATGAACTTTTTTACGTAATTTAGATTCACAATCTAACAACATGAGCCGTAATCGAAAAAATATAAATACCTAGCATCTGGCAATACATCTTGGCCAGTATATGAGCGTAGGTTTTGTATCCTCAGCTTATCCAGAATCGTTGTATCAGCGTTGTGCTCACAACAATCTGCAATGAGCGCCGTCACCCTCCCATCCTCATCTTTTTCTTCATAAGCATTTATGAAATGGAACGTTATGTATAATGGCACTTCCACACTCGCCACCTACAAAATTAAAATTAAATCAACATCAATTTTGTTTATAAAAATGTATAACTAATTACTTCCATATGATAAAATACAATCGCATATATAATTATCAAATAGAGCAAATCAGTAGGACTTACAATGTTGCCACTAGCTTTACACATGACATGCATAAATGCTTTAGATTCAGGGTGCCACTCAAACTTGTACAACGGTGTGGGCTCGGCCTTGAGCAAATTCCCAGCACAATATCTCAATGGCATTTCCGGTACAATTATATAGTGCTCTGTCACCGGAAATGAGTGCACCCAACCCGGTGCTGGTCCACGACTACAATCAACCCGCCCAATCACCTTCCTCTCGTTGGTACCCGGTTCCATCCTGACTGCCAAATAACCCGGGCTGATCAAATCGGGTAGTAAAGACAGAAACTCGGTTTCTGTCACAATAGGATGTGCCGAGTGTATCAAACCCCCCAATGTATCACTGTACTCAAATTTCCCTAAAGTGTCCAAGGTGGCAGGGTCTATGACTATGGATCCTTTCTGGGTCTCCGTAAGGCACACGACCCGACCATCTGCGAGCATGACCACTCCGGTGTTCGCGTTGTCGGTCAGAGATGCACCAGAGAATAGGTTGGCTAACTCGCCTATGTAGGATAGGAAATTGTCGGGCTTAGGAACCTCTGAGAATTCACGGTAACATAACTTTTGGGTCTTCATCGCAGCCTTGTAGGCCTCGGATTCAATTTGGCGGTGGCCGGCGATGAGGCGGCCGTCTTCAAACTGGAGTTTGACCAGCATGGCGTAGCCGTCAAAGAGGTGGCGGAAGTTGTAGTCCCCAATGTGCCATAGCCCTGGACCATTTCTTAAGTACGTCCCTTTCTGCATGTGACATTAATTTAATTTTATGACCTAGCTATATTAAATAAAGCGCACTAGTAACAAAATGGTAGTTGATTAATTAGGATTATTCTTTTTATAGAATTGAAAATATTTTGTACTATTGGTGTTCACAATTATTAATTATAGTTTCAAGGGATTAGAAAATATATTTGGAATGTGACTCCGATACGTAAATTCAACCTCAAGTATAAAAATAATGGTAATAAAATAATAGGAACGGGAAATATACTTTTGCCAGCCCCACGTCTTTCTGACACATTATAATGTGTGGCGACAGTATGATGATCAGTTGATTAATTCATTAATCAGACAAGTTTAGCTTATAATTACAAATTATGCCAGCAAGAAACACACAGGTCATTATGGACAATCTTCTCTATCTGTGCGTGGTAGGCCTCTCACTGACGAAGCGATAAAGACCAGGAAGAAAAAGGATTAAAATAAGGTCATAAGAAAAGGGTTGCCTTTCTACAGCCTTCTTCTATTATTCCTGTTTCCTGCATAAAAATGTTGTAGACATACCCTATTTGGCTCTTTTATTTTGTACCCTATGTGTCTATTTGGATTGTTCTCTTATTAGTGTATTTGGCCTCCACAAAAGTAAAATTTTGTCTTTATAATACATAAAAGATGTTTATGTTGACGTACTATCAACTTAAAATCATTTATCATATAAGATGATTCTTTTACAGAATGTACGGTTTAAATTCACAGTTAGATACATAAGTCAGACAAGAGGGCATTATAACAAAAAAATTGTACATTAAACTATTTGATCAATATATGAATCTTTGATATAGAATAAGGAAGTATAAGTTAAGTGAGTTATGCTCACATACCAGCCACAATGGTATTTCTCCTTGGACAAGCAGCTCTCCTTCCCATCTCTCCTGCCGCACGCTGGTCCACGCCACGTGGCTCTGGTTGCCACTATTGCCGCTCTCTCTTCTCGGCAGCAGAGGAGCCACAGCTGGTAATGGCGGACTTGCGACATTCGTGGACACCAAGCCCCGACCATTGTGTTTCTTTCTAGTGTCACTCAAGTTCTTCTTCAATGGATTAAAGCCATCTCTTATATTTTGATTGGAGTAATCGGAAACAGAAGCTGTTGGCAGAAAAAAGGAATTTCCAGAAGTGCCGGAAAATGTTATGGAAGCCATGAAAGCAAAGACTAGCAGAGAGCGGAGCTAAGACTAAGCAGAAGTGTATTCAAAAGTGGGTTAAAGAGTGTGAGGTGTAATTGGTATTTATATATGTATAGGAGGGCCTGCACATAGGGCAAGTTAAATAATTAAGAAACTATATATGCCACATGTCCCATGCGATGCGTTTACATGTTGGAATCTTAATTGGTGGAATTCCCCTTCACTACCAGACAAAGCTTATTATGCCATAATTTTTTTTAACATTTCTGAGAAAATATCGAAATTTGAATCTATGGTGCGACTACCTCCAAGTTAACTAATTAATAAATTATGTCGGCCTTTCCCGAACAGTCACTTGATTAACAAGTAATACACATTTGCTGATCAACATGTTTTAATTTTTAATTTTCTACATAATTTTTATGTGGAAATGAGCCGATAATTGTTCGGATAATATTCTCTTATTAGATATCTGATATGTTGTGTTAATGTGATGGTTTGATAAATTTCTTGATGGTTTTGTATTTATCTAACCAACTACCATTACACCTGAATTTATATATATATATTCGTTAGAGTTTTAAATTTTTATTGAAAAATCAATTTATTTTTTATGAATCTTTACAGGTGTTCTGGCTTATTTCTCACAAACTTTGAATCAATTTGGGTTGAGTTTCATGCATTTGATCTCCACAATCGTACGTAC